ATTTTTGTTAGTTTTCCAGGCTAGTGACTTTGAACGACAAAAGCAATGCGCTCTATATTTTATATATACTCTGGATGCGTTGGGAAGGCTGGGAGGAAGGGAAAGGAAATAAGGGATATTACTGAATAAATAAAAACCTTTAGGTGTAGATGCAGAGGAAAATGGGATGTTTAAGGATATGAATAAAATAGCATTTGGGCCATTATTGGTTATTTTTATCTCGAAGCTTTTACGTAAAAGATATTGCGTATATACCAGCATGATTTACTAAATAGTATGCCATCTTTTTGCTATTAAAATAAAGGTGAAATTATTTTATACTAAAAGAAAATTCATTCTAAAATATTTTCAGAATCTTTTAGTATCGACAACGCACAAAACTACTACAGTAAATGGAAAAATAAAAATAAACAGTAACACTTAAATATTTCATAAATACATATGTTTTATAATTTGATAATCTTGCCCTGGAATTACATTAATTAGTCAAATTATACTTTTATATTTACACTTTTTGTGTATAAGGTGATATTCGGTATTTAATGTGGTGGTTTAGTCTATTTTTCATTCCATATTGTAGGTAAGTTCGTGCTGTAGGTAAAAATTAATCAATTTTAATTTTTTGTCACGCAAGAGCCAAATCATGATTTTCAGCATGAGATTGTGTATGATATTTCAAGGTACTCTTGATTATCATAATATTTGGAAGCATTTACGGTTCTATTGGAAAAACGTGGATATTTAAGAGATTGATTAATCTGCAACGAACATTGAAATTATTTATACTAACGCATAGAGAAAGAAATTCAAATAGGTTGTGTTTGATTTGTGTGTTTTCAAGTAGTTTAAAAAGTTTTGTCATTTCGTTACTAAATGGATTGTGCCAACCTAGGAAAATTTTATAAGTATACGTATTGGAGTTTTATTGAGGTTCTTAATGCGAATTTGAAACAATAAAATGGTAACAACATCGAAGACTTATGCCAATTGCAAATATTCAATGTGCTTAATTTATGTGAATCTATCAGTAATGCCTAATTTGAATTATTGCTTAAGTATATCTATCTAATAATTGTAATTAATAAACATTACCAGAAGTAGTTAGTTAGCTATAAGATACGTATTTTTGGTAAAAGTCAATTAAAGGTATAGCAAAGGAAAAATAAAAACGCTTAAATAAGTAGTTAGATACCTACATTTTCAAATTTCCCACGTTTATTAAAAGATTGTTATCTGCAGTCTACAGCGAATTACTTTATTCGATATACATACATACGTACTATGTAATTATTTCGTGATAAGTTTCAATTCAAACAAAGTATAGCTCATTACAAAAACATAGACTGTTTATAATATTCAGGAAATAAGTAATGAGTTTTCAGTACAAACATTAAATTCACGTGGGTATTACGTTTCCAAAAATAATGCGCTTGTTAAGAAAATGGCATAGTTTTCGATTTTTCAAATAACTAATTTTTTTATTCTAAGTACATAACTTCTAACCACTTCAAATATTATCGAAATTTGGCAAGCGAAAAGAGCGTTAGACTTTCAACGATTTTCTGATATGATTTACCCTTTTTCCTTATCGTAAAAATGTAGAATATTATCTTAGTTTTCAGTATATCCTAAAGTGCAAAAGTGTTAATGGCGCTTTCGAAGCAGACGCGTAAAAGCTTATCGAGCAATTATTAAGATTAAGATCTGAAAGGCACTATATTAAAATTGTTATTGTAGAGTTAAGTACATATGTACATACATATTTTTATAAATATGTACCTGCCTACATTGAAAACGCGCATTAACTAAGTAACTAAATTATTTTGTTCGATATTATTGCATTTGTATAAAATTTTTGATCATTTGAGTGGTGAAATTTGAAACTTGAAATATTTTTAACAATACCTAATTAAAAACAGCTCGTCGACTGTTTGTATAAAATCATCGAGGTATTTCCGATTTCCATCATAAATAAATTGATATTTATCAACTTAATTAAATTTGCCTGTCATAAAATCGATAAACCAGTTAACAAGTTTATACAGCTTCTTTCTACCGACAGTTTTTATTTTAATTTGTTAAAAATAAAAAAAATTGCCTTATGTATGGACACTATTTGGTAAAATTATTCATCTCTTTGAGCTTCAATATCCTTAATAATTACTGATTGAAGAAGAAATAACCACACAAAATACCCACCTATATTAATAACATCGTGCACATATTTACGGAAATTATTAATTTATTTAGATATCAAAAATCACACTTGAATTTAAGCATTCACCAGCACATGCATACACCAATTTTCCAAAATCACCGTCATGCGATCCACGAATTTCGAAACTTATTTTTCGCGCCGTCCGAATTCGAATACCGTCGGTTTATCTCCTCCCTTCTAAAGTTGAAAGCAACAGTTACACTAGCAATAGCCATACAATGCGGCGCTAAGAACGGCGAGCGTCGCGACGGCCGCGGCGCGGCGTATCAAATCGCGCACCCCGACGCTGACCCCCCTCCGATAGGTCAAGGTTCAATGTTAATGTCGTCACGTGACCCGCGATGCATTTTGCATAGGCCTCATTTATTTATCGTACGTACGTACGCCGGATTGAAGTTGCGACCGAAGAGTCCCTCGTAAATCTAATCAAAATTTATCTTTCAGTACCTTGTTGGGGAACGAAACTGCCGGGACTTCATAACAACGTACTCGGCGGGGAACTTGGGTGGAATTAAAAAGTTCCTTTTGGATATGCTGTTGTTGAATATAAGTCTGATAAAATGAGTTCATGCATGATGGGAAGTTTCTATAAGGTACACACTTATAATAACTAATTTATATTCACAAACTTCAAAAGTAGGTACCTACATTCGATTATTTCTAAGTTATGGTAATTAGAAATAAATAGTATAAATACTTTAATACATCAACTACACAAGAAGTTTAAAACACGATATGAATTTTCTAGCTGTAAAGCTTTAGGTATAATTAATATTTCCTTGAAATTATTCAAATCGAATAATCAGAATTCTCTTCTCCTTAAAAATTCTGACAAAGGTTGATAGTTCACTTTTAGGACTGTTAGGGATATAACCTTTAATAATAAAGCATTTTACCTTTTCAAATTCTGAAATCCTGACGTTCTGAAAAATTTAATGGACACGGAATTAAAATGGAAATTTAGTCAAATAGATTTTCTACTCTCATATGATTAGGTATTTCATAATGTTGTCATAATGTTATACATATTTCTATTTTATCCGTTAAAATTTACTTATAAAATTTGATGAGGAATTTGATTAGAGTAAAAAAGTTTTCTGATAAACGATCAGGATGTAAAATTGCCGTGGGAGCTGTGTACTTTAAGTGCAAATGAAGCGGAACTATAAATTCAAATTTATATATCTAAAAGCCTGTTTGTAGTTGGGATCGGATAGTTTAGAAGTTCTCCAGCAGAATATCTCTGAAAGCTGTTTTTAATCCTTTACAAATTATAACTATACAAACGATTTTTGCTCTTGCACCAAGAATAAGTTTTGGTTGCTCCTTTTTGCCTTGTTTTGCCACTGAAATAATCACAATAATATAGACAAAATTATAAAATAATAATTTTGGTGGTGTTATTTAACGTATCCACCAAAAATTTCAAAATTTGCTGAGCTATCGGGAGATTGGATACATTTCTCTTCTTTCTCCTCTTCAAATTATTATCATCTTAAAGCTGCTTTATTTAATTGAATCTTTTTGATACAATCGGCAATATCCGTTTCGTTATTATCCCTATCCTTTTTTCATTAGTGGGAAATTCTGAAAGATGCTTTGAATGATCGATGATTTTATTTACAAAGAAAAGCACACTTCTTTGAACTGGAATCGCTGTGATTCCTTAGCAAAACTTGCCAGTGCCGTTGAAAATATTCTCTTCTCAAAAGGATGAAATTGTTATGACTGAAACGGAGTTTATTAAATTTTCTTTTAATTTAAAATCTTGGAAAACAAGGATTTTAATTAATATGCTTAGCAAAGCGGTAAAAATGTAGGAATAAATTTGCATGATCGTTCTTTATTTCGTGATTTTTTTTATTTCCCCTTAACTGTATGCGTAGTCGATCTCGTTAGTGAGCTTGGTATATTCGGTTTTGTAACTTTTTTTTTTGAAAATGTATGTATGGTCGAATAAATGAAACAAACCGCGTATCGGGTTTATTTGTTTTTGTCGTAGTTGAAGTTGGAATCGATTTAAACAGAGTTAGCACAGCCACTCTTTTGGAGACTTTAGATAAAATAAATAAATAAAAAACCTAATTAATTATAGGAGCTGTTAAATAGTAAATATTTTGTGTGTCCAATTATATTTTTCCTTGATTTCTCCTTAAGGGCCTAAGGCTTTACATTAATGGAACTATCTTGTAAATATATATCGTAAATATTATTGTTGTGGAAGCCCCTGGAGAGGCATTTAGTAGGTTGTGTTTGAAAATTATATTCGAGAGAAATAGAGCTTTTATTGCATTGAAGAAGTAAATCATTTAACAGGTCAATAAAACAAATCTGCGCAAATCATAATTGATTAATTGAATGTGTATTTTATCAATTAACAGGTATTTTTTTTAACTTGGAACTTCTTCACTGTGTTATTATTGATTAAAGAACTTCTCTTCATTTAATATTTAAATCCGAGAATTAATTCTTCACATATTCACCCAGCGAATCCTCGAAATGAATTCACAATGTCTATTTACGAATTTAACGAAAGGAAAAGGGAACAGGTATAAGGTTATTTTAATCCCTCTCCCGGGATGATTTATTTTTGTGAAACTTTCTTAGCATAAAACTTACAATTAACTAGTTGATTACTTAATGAAAACTAGGTATACAACATTTTCTGCTTTGCACAACAGAAGCACAAAACAGAAGCAAGTTTATAAATTGGAAACCACGGGGATTTGACGGGGATTACGTCGCATCAATAGCGAAATTTGGGCTATCTAAAGCCCTTCAAGTTATTATACAAGGCATAATCCCCGTTCCTCTATTCATAGTTTCCCAGCGATTTTTCCGGAAAGTTTTCTACATATTTGAGTTTCAGTTTTAACAAACAAGAGTCTACGCAATATAAATTGTTAAGTCGTAAATTAAATACAAACTTTAATACAGTGCATAAAATATATTATGAACTTTATTTTTACCTCATAAAATTATATACAATAGTGCCTAGTATAGATTTTTTTAGTCAGGCATTAATCTATTTCCGCAGAAAAAAACTACCGCAAAGTGCTCGACGATTTGACAATATTCCTGTCGTTAATCCTGACATCGATTTTAAAAACTTCCTCGACTAAAAATAGTCGACCTTTTTAATAGAAAATTACTGATACGCGTACTTACGTTGGTTTGGCATCGTATCAAAAACTTCCCATTTTGATCAAAACTCGCTTCTCTTACGCCGAAAAGCCTCTATCTGATTGGAATACGAATGCAAGATACGAGCCCGAGTTATATCGATTTACTATATTTTCTAAAAATTACGTTTCATTTGCAATGCATTCATTCATGAATATTTAAAAGAGTTTTTTATATAACTGAAAGAAGTCTATACTGTTAGCTAATAAAGTGAGCTGCATGGGATTTTCCATTTGACCGAATTTACATAACACTAGATTTATTTTTTATTTCTAAAGAATTGTGTCACGGCAGATTGTATAAAATAAAGTAAAGCAACACGCGTGTAGGAGATAAAATTTCGTGTATCTCCGCAGAGCTGCATTAATAACGAATTGAAGGAACAAGGCCGACCTGATGAAGAGAAGCAACTTAATAAATAGTCTCACCATTGTGCTATTAAGGGTCGTCCTTTCATTGCTCTAAATGGAGGAAAATGAAGGCTGAGCTGCCAACAGCTGGATAGGGGAACGTGAAACATTGTTTAAGCTGTAGGAATGAGAAAAACGACTGAAAGAAATGACCGGTCAATATCTAGGAGAGAATTAATGAAAGCGTTTATAAAATCGATTCAATTATCGGATAAAAATTACATAAAACAATCAATGAGAATGTTGTTTGTCGATAACGGTTTGAAATTAAAAATTCGCGGATCTAAAGCAATAATGAATGAACCAATTAATAAACCATGGAAAACATCCGATAACCCGTTGCCTGCAATAAACATAACTTCTGCTGCAGATAAAATTTTATTAACTGTGTCGAATGTTTTTGCTAGAATTCACTCCCGCGTTTGAATACTCACCACTAACACTGCCGGTATTCATTGTTGCTGGTTATAAATAAAAACACGACAAGATTAATCTCCCTATCCCCGTACCTGCCGTTCATTAACTTTACCCCCTTTATAGAGGAAAATGAAACTCTTTGTTATAGGTATACAGCTAGTATACGTACAGTGCGACAGTAATTTTTAATAATATTTAATTGTCTTTTATTATTCATGTTGCATTATAATCAACACCAAAAAATGGTTAATGAGTTTCCAGAAAGATTATTATAAATCGCAGTTTGAAGGATACTCGTGACTTTTTTTAATTAAATTTTTTGACAAGGTTATTATGAACCACCTGCAACTCCATTTTCCAGTTATATTCTTGACAAAAAGTTTTATATTGAACGAAAGGTCAATCCATTTTCATTTACCTCAATGTTAATGACCATAAACTCGACAATTTTTCTTTTTCCAGCTTAGTTCAGGGTGAATTTGATATAGACTCGCGCCGCACACGTAACATTGGCTAGCCCATATGGGTCAAGACCAACCGACTCGATCAATCAACTTTTCCCATTACACTTAATATTAGAGAAAAACGTACGAAAAAATCGGCTCTCTTTAGGATACATTTTAGAATATCGTGCTGATGTTTGCTAAGTATGTAAGAGATTAATTTTAGATTTATTCTTATTAGAAAATAATATACATAATAATAACAGTTTATTTTATGTATACAGATTGTTAATTAAATTATTAATTATGTTTTGTACGTATAAATTTACTCTGGCAAATTTGTACAAAATTCAACGGTAATTGTTTAGAATCCCTTATAACTCTTAAAGCCGAAACGTTGTGTTTACTTAGAGAAAGTGATTATCAAGGGCTGTTTGCCCTAAGTACATAACCCTGGCGTATCCCTAGGAGGTATGCGAATATCGTAAAATATGTAGCGGTTCTAGCAGGTGATATGAATACAAAATGTTCATAATTCTATTAAGGTATAATAACACCGTCGGTTGGTTAAAGATACACCGAATTTTTTAACTCGTAAAGGTTGATTAAATCGTATTTGTAGACCGAGAGAAACGGCGTGCAAGCGCATTAATATTTCAGTCAACTATTAAACCGAAAACTTAGATTCGCAATTTCGGTCTGATTAAATCGCGATTTTACATTTCCCCGGGTTTCGGCAACTTAAGTTTTCAATTACGCTGCATAAAATCCGCATAAAAACCATATTTCACTTGCGTAAATTTACTTTTGGCAGCGGGTAGTAAGAAACTGGGACATAGTTTCAATGGAATAAATCTTCCAACTTTATGATAGTATTTTTGTTTACATTTTATAGTGTTTTTCGCGAGCGTCGCTACTCATCTCCATCTTCGAGGCACGGCGATGTGTTGAAATTGCTTGAAAATTTGAACCTAAAATTACTTTTCATAGATACGAATAAAATATTAGTTCTAAATTGGATCAACTGTTTTCACTGTATACTTACCTTTTTTTGTCTGCTATTTTCATATTTTTTTTTTCAGAAAATTTTATTTCCAACAATTTTTCTACAGATTAATATGAAGCAGATTTTCTGTATCTAGGCGTATTTATTTTCATTAACATTTACTTGTAAATCGATTTTCGCCGCTACTGTACTATTTTTTCTTTATAGAGTAAGATTTCTCACCATATTTCATCGCAGTAGTAAATCATACTATTATTTCAAGTTTTTTATCATTTTTCGCGGCTATAAATAATTTTAGAAATTTTATTTGTGCCCATAAATCATATTTTACATAAATATAAAATGCTCAGGAGTGCCTTCCATATGTACCTAAGTAAATGATTTTTTTTGGTATTTATTCAAGTAGCATATTCTTCAAAAAGCTTTTCACGTTATTCAAGCTAATGTATTTTATTATTCATCTGTCTAAATTAAATCGCCTAATTAAATTTTACTGACTTTACCCTTTAAAAAAGCCGAGCAACGTGTTACTATCCGCGAACCGCTTTTATTCGTTTACGAAAATATAATTAAGAATAATTGCGTCCCTTGAAGAATTTTTTTGACTGTGATGAATTGCGACAATTTTAAATTGTTTACCCCCTAGTGGGACGACCATTATTCTAAAGTAACAAACTTCTAATGGAGCAAATTTTGCATTGTCATAGTTCGCTTTGCGGGTAAGCAATATTTCACTTCACGGTTGGAAAATTTATCGAAAAATATCAGAATTCAACACGTAGGAATATAAAGGTGAATAAATTTCTCCTATCGGCAAGATATTCGAAAATGCCAAGTATCTTTAGAAATTTATTCGCGTTACTTAGACCAAATTAAAATTCAAAAACATTAGGAATTTTAATGACTCTCTAATTAGATAACTTTTACTGCTTCACACCAAATTTCAATATAAATCTAAAAATAATTATTTGACAAATTAGGAATTTAGCGGGTTTATACGAGTTCCGTACAAAAACAACTAAAAAAGGTCAAGGTTTTCAACATTTTTTATTTAACAAATATTACATGTCGATAACATGATTTTTTTCTCTGGTTATTCAAATGCATGTTTTGGCAAGGGAAAAATAGAATGAAAATTATTAAAAAAATGTTGGAATTGAATACAACTATATACAAGTCTTCATACAATTTCAGTTCTTTGAACTTTTAATTTTTTCTAAACCAAATTAGAGGTGTACTATTTTTCAAAACAAAAAATATTAAATACGAATAAATTAATTATTTAACTGAGAAACCATCTCCTGTGGGATCCAATATCCAAGGATAATTATTAGGACATTCCATACACGTGAAAAGTCGCAAAGTTTCACCAGGCAATTCTCTAGTGTGCAAAGGACAAGAATTGGGTAATGAACAGAACGGCTGTCCTTTGATATCGCATTTCTCTTTCCACTCCTGGAAATCTCTCAATCCATTAATCTCGGTTGGGTTTTGAATCCATTGTATAACTTGCAAATTAGTCACGAAGAACACATCATTCCTCGCCAACATTTCTTCGATGAACTTGATCAATTCCTCCTTAAATTCCTTCTTGCTCTTCAACCAAGACGCGTGGAAATGCAGTCCCAACGGAGCCCTGTTAGTGTTGAAGTGACGATTGAAATTGTGCCTCAGTAACCTCGCGAATTGATCGCCAGTTTGGATGTTCGAGCACGAGTCAACCATGTGACAACCGGGCAAAGACTCGTCAAAAGTGGGATCATCACGTCTGTCCAGCTCGTTCATCACCATTTCCCAAACCGGATGGCTCCTACTGGGACAGTTATGCGCGTTTCCGTTGCATTTGTGTGGCATTCTGAAGTACAAAGTGTACGGCCAAATCGGCACCCTGTTCAGCGGAGCGGTGATGGAAGAATCGTACACGAAGAACTGATCGGTCATCATTTCGAATTGCTTGTTGCCTCCAACTCTCAAGTAAGGAGCCCTCACGCCTATGATTGAACCGTCGGTGATGTTAGCGAAACGTTCGACAATCAGTCTCGCGCCGGCCATTTCGGCCAGCCAATCGTCGTATGAACCCTGCGACCAGTAATTGGGATCCTCTTTGTGGGTTAGAGAAAACACGGCGATCTCGTGGCCGCGCCTGTGCAAGTCCTGCACGGCCGAGTAGTTGGTGTATTTGTGCGAGACGAAGAAGCTGCCGCGTATCTGGCAACCGTTGGGGTTCAGTCGGGTTCCCGAGAAGATCTCCTCGTACAGGTCGATGTTGTCGACGTTGACGGCGCCGTTGAAAGTTATGGTGATCATCTGAGGCACGTTTGTGGGTTCCAAGCCACCGGGAATTCTAGTACCGTCGGCAGAGCAGAAGCAGTCCGGCAGGATACATTGGGTCGGGTCGCAATCAGGGGCTCTGTTCGGATCAGTCTCCACGTCTAAATTATAGATAGAATAGTTTATTTCGAAGCAATATTTTAAAGTTATAATTAAAAATTCCTTTTTATTTATTTAGGCACTTTAAGTTCAAATTCTCTCCCTATTTAGACACTCATTACTTTCATTAGCGCTTCATTATTTCCGAGCCAAAAGGAGCACATAATTATAAACTTACCGCAAGCATTTTCGTCGGATTCGTCTTTGCATTCGGGTTTTCCGTTACAGAAGAGTTCTTTGTCGATGCATTCTTCATTGCCGCACATGAGTTTACCTTCGGGGCATCTTGGTTCGTCGGTTTTCAAAATCGGCAGGACTTTTCTTGGTTCTAAAAATTCGTAATAGGATATTTCGGATTTTGGCGGAAGATTTTTTTTAATTAGGCAGTTAATTTTTCTGTACAGGTAGTGTTGATTGGCGTTTTTGTACATTATATACATCATTTAATTACATCAGAATTCGTAGCAGAAAGTAGGCACATAATGTTCTTGATAGAAGGACTATAAGAGAATCTAGAGTGGGTTAATAATTCTATGCTTCTTCTAAGGCAATCAGAGTACGAAAAAATAAAATGCAGATAATTAGGTATTGCAAATGAAATAATTTTTAGGTGAATTGTCCTTAGAAGATAAATACAAACATATATGTCATGCTTTAAGTAGGTACAGAACAAAATACAGAAATTAATAAATAATGAGACGACGAAACAAAAATTAAAACGTGGAAAATAGGAAAATATTAGGAGCAAATAGATACTTACTATGGTACTATACACTGTGAATATTATGCCTACGTATTTTTACATACAGGGTGTCCCAATAGTGCGGTAAAGCCCATTTACTCAGTTATTATAATAGATACGAAAAAATGATAAATAGGAAAAATGTTAAGCACCTTTAGGCGCACAATTTAAAATTATTTCGAAATATACAGGGTGGCCCATAAATCGATGCCATACCAAACATACCTTTTTTTAAAGGCAATGATATATTTTTTATATCATATTCAATTTCAGCTCGTTTTCACGAGTTTCTCAATATAAGATTTCATATGACTATACTGAGTATTTAAAAAGTTATGGCCATTTTTATGTTCAAATCGACATGATTTCAAGGCCCTGTATATCAGAATCTGTATCAGATAATGTGAATTTTTCTGTGTCAGCACTTTTTGAAAATGGTCTATTTTCACAAAAAATAGTTACATTCTGACAAAATTACAATTTGTATACAGGGTGAGTCAAAACGCAAACATAATATTTACTCGCTTAATTTAAATGGAACACCCTATATTAATAATATCCAATGGGAAGTCTATTTCTTACTGAATCTTTTTTCATAACATTTCCCTATACCTAACTGTCACCGTTTCTGAGATATTTTCAGTTTTATTAAAAAATGTCCAGTTTTTGATGTTATAATTTCATTTTGATCTAATTACCAATGATGGTGTCGACCTTTTTTGCAAAATAATAGTAGAAAATGTAATATCAAATAATTAACGATCATTAACTACCCGAAATATTTGGTAATTTTTAAATTAAACTTTAAATTATTATAATTTTAATTTAATCTAGTTACCTCTATGACGTCATCATCTACGAACTATGCGAACTTTACTTATTGAACTCGTGTCACTGTAAATTATAAAATAACTAAAAATTTAGGGTACCTGCTAATGATATTTGATTAATCATTAATCGATATTTAATTTTCTACTATTATTTTGCAAAAAAGGTCGACACCATCATTGGTAATTAGATCAAAATGAAATTATAACATCAAAAACTGGACATTTTTTAATAAAACTGAAAATATCTCAGAAACGGTGACAGTTAGGTATAGGGAAATGTTATGAAAAAAGATTCAGTAAGAAATAGACTTCCCATTGGATATTATTAATATAGGGTGTTCCATTTAAATTAAGCGAGTAAATATTATGTTTGCGTTTTGACTCACCCTGTATACAAATTGTAATTTTGTCAGAATGTAACTATTTTTTGTGAAAATAGACCATTTTCAAAAAGTGCTGACACAGAAAAATTCACATTATCTGATACAGATTCTGATATACAGGGCCTTGAAATCATGTCGATTTGAACATAAAAATGGCCATAACTTTTTAAATACTCAGTATAGTCATATGAAATCTTATATTGAGAAACTCGTGAAAACGAGCTGAAATTGAATATGATATAAAAAATATATCATTGCCTTTAAAAAAAGGTATGTTTGGTATGGCATCGATTTATGGGCCACCCTGTATATTTCGAAATAATTTTAAATTGTGCGCCTAAAGGTGCTTAACATTTTTCCTATTTATCATTTTTTCGTATCTATTATAATAACTGAGTAAATGGGCTTTACCGCACTATTGGGACACCCTGTATGTAAAAAATTATAAACTTTATGAGATAGTTTGTTATAGTTTTCTAATGAATAAAAAATACAAATTATCTCATAAAATAAAAATAAAGCGAATGATTCTGTATATTGTACAATTTGCTATACTAGCCTAATTACGATTTTCGTAGTTCTAAAGAGAAATTGTACAATACTTAGACTTACCGCTCAATTGATATTTACAAAAAACAGTGATTAAAAATTCAATTAGGAAAGGTAAAAGGTGCCGCTTAGTAGAGTCATGCGAAATCATGTTAGTTTATTATGTAAAACCTGTGCAATTTGTGACCGTTAGTATTAAAAAAACACAAGAAATAAAAAAGTATTGGTTAGCTAAATGCCCAGTCTACAGTGTAGCAAGTGCAATAAGATACAGAAGTGTTGTTACGTAAAAGCGGTGAACTATTATAGCATCTACTTTCTTAAATATACAGGGTGTCTAAGAATTTAAGTTTTTTATAGACATATACTGTATATTTGTGTGACTCAATTTCTGGTTGACCCAAACCACAGCTGATTTTTTTAAATAGCACTACTGCTGTGTTTTATTGAATATTCCCAAAAATTTTCTTGAACTGTGCAAGTTGGTATGTATGTACACAAAACAATCAATATTATTTTTGTTGGAAGTTATTGATTGATTGCTTTGTGTAGTAGTTTCTGAAACTAATTGGAAATCTCAACAATATAGCACCCAAATACTCAGCTTCCTTAAATAGCTTTTACACTTTTTCGCCGTGTTTTGCTTACTCTCAAGTTGATCGCAACTATTGACTTTTCCTTTCCAGTCACAAGTCTGTTTATCGATGTCAAACGCCAATCCACTGGGACAAGTTATCTGTTTTAGACCGGACTTTGTACACCTGTACGTCAAAATGCAACTTTAAATATATGAGAAAAGATTTCAAGAAATAGTGACCTTTAGGACGCGGATTCTCGATTTATTCAAAAACGTTACGCAAGCCGTGTGTACATACAAATACGTTTAGTAAAAGTCACTTTTCCTTCTGCGTCGACTTACTTTCTACAATATCACAATTTTTGACATTGACCTTCCAGTCACAAGTCTGACGGTCAAGATCGAAAGAGAGTCCGCTCGGACATTTGACCGCCGCTAATCGTGTACCACCCTTAAGATCTGAATTGAAATCACACCTAAATTAATATAAATCAGAAGTGAATAAATCTACAATGCTAGAGCATAATTAAATAAGTCAAATTTGTTGATTCAAGTATAAAATCATTCGTCTGTTCGTCTTCTAACGTGTTGTGTAATTTCTAACCTTCAATATAAAACTTCCCATAACAAACAATGAATAATTTATTAATGAGAGTTACAATTCTGAAGAATTACTCGAATGTAACAATCTTATAACAGCATATTATTTAGTTAATTAATTAGAAATAATGTTATGATGTCTCCTAGTTCAACGTTCTAGATATTAATAATAATTCATTACATAATGTTTATTTTTCATTTATTATAAAATATTTCCCTTCAAAAAAAACTTGTGTTACAAAATAGTGATTATCAATAATCGTTTCTATGAGTTATATAAAACTTGCATTATTGTCAAAGTTCAATTAATATTTATGAGAAATTTTAATTGGCGAATTTCATAAAATTTTTAATTGTCAATTATGTCAATTACGTCAAATATCATTATGTCAGTAAATCTAGTAAAAAATGTAAATCTAACAACTTTTGATTGATTTTTAACAAACTATTATAAAACTTTACTAAATAATTGCGATCCATTTCATTTTATATATTTTTTAATTATTATACTTACTCTTTATAAAAATCTCTACAAATAATATTGACTTGTTATTTTGATATTAACTGTAATAAAAGTTACGAAATTTATTTAATACCTCATTAGGTTCAATCTATTCAATTAAATCGTGTTTCATCCATATTAATCAATGTTATTAATTTAAGCAAGAGTTTCTCTTACATCATTAATCAAAATTAAATAATAGGTCTATAATTTGAGAGTCCTTCCGTGTTACTGCAATATTACGTCCAATTAATTAAGATAGATTTACCTTACTACTTCTCTGCAGTCTCCATCTGTACTCAGCCTGAAATATTCATCGGCAGGACGATCCTGGCAAAGTTTATCGATTCGCAGTTCATCTCCCTCTTCATCTTCGTCTTGTGCATAAGCTGGAAAAAAATCAATCAAAATAATTTGAAAAATATAGTAGATACCTACATTTTTTTTCAATATCTACAGAAAGTTGTATCATTTCTAATTATCGACTGCGACAACAAATACCATTTTCCCTTTGCTATTAAAAAAACTTTCTTTCGCTTATTCAGTATTAATTAGCAATCATAAAAATGGTCGAAAAAGTTATCGATATTGGATGTAAATAAAGAAATCTAGGTCGAATCGAAAGTAAGTCCCAAACAGGTTTCTTACTGCTGGTATAGACGGACTGTTTATGCTGTTTACATAAGTCAATTTTATTTCTTTTTTTTCCAAGGAATCTTGGAATTTCCATTAATTTGCAAAGAGCATCAAACTCAGGCTGCATATCTGCAGGCTAATAAATTTAAAAAAGCATTATGTGGAAATATCCGTTGTCCCTCGTGTTGTTCCATAAGGACATCGAATGTCCCATAAGGACATCGAAAAATATTCTTCAATAAAATAACAGTATTTATGGAGTGTCTGATTGCCAATAAAATCTTGAAGGTTAGTGAATAAACTGCTTCGGATAAAGAACATTTATTGCAACGGTAAATACATGGAATTATCGCTAATAAATTATTATGTATTTCAAAATTCATTAGCATGATTAATATCAGCTTAACGATGTTTCAATTAATAATTATGATACAATTATTAGTAATTTTCAATTGAGTTAATAAACAATTCCAAATCCAATTACTTATTATTTATAATAACAATTTGATTGAATATAGAAACATTCTTAACAAAAATGAAACTTAATTTAGATTTCTATCCTCCACTAATTAATTAAATATAAAATAAATTAATGTAGACAATTTTAAATTGTTATCTACTATTTTAGGTACTTATTATATTTTTTTCGTAAGTACCATTTAACAAGTTATCACGATCTTGCGGATAGATTGCTGGTTGCCTCACCCTGTATCAACCTTGCCAAGCCTCCGGAATATTTCTACCAGTGTTTCTTTCTCTTTTTCACATACACGCACTATATACGAGTGGAGTTAAAATCCGCATAATAAATAAAGAACAAAAGAAAAAGGTCAAACCTATCTCGAATTGCAACACGGTAACCATCCTATAATTGAATTTTAAATTAACTGCTAGGCGACATTTCGAAAACGACCGAAGAGAAAGGAGAAGTTCGAAAGAAGGCGCATATTGTATGCGAAAAAATTCATCCCACGGCAAGAAATGTTTTATTTAATTAATAGTTTAGAATAAATTTAATTGATTTCCTGATTACCCGGTGTAGTACTCTTCCGCAATATTGAGTACCAAAAAGATGTCAATGCTCGGTAAGGAACGAAAACTACTCTTACTCTTAGAGGTGAACCGGCATCAATATTTTTCGAAATATATGAATTAACCAATCGTTTTATTGATTATTTTTACAATAAAGTACCTATATCAGATTTTTCAAGTAATTACTTTCTTTTTAACAACCTTTAACCAAACTAGAATTAGAAACTACTGGAAATTAATAGTCCATAAAACATTTACGCTCTATTTATTTTACTAATTTATGCACATATCACCAATGCACAATATAATTTTGAAGTTATTAATTTTAATTTTTAATTAGATCGCCCTGTAGACTTTCAACAACCAGAGAAAGTCTGACATATTGAAAGTTATAGTTTCTTAAAAAATATTGAGGTTAACAACCGATATTGATCAAAAAAACCGTTTTCAAAATATAAATTCAAAACAACTTACCGACAGAGGCAATTAGTAATAAGCCACACAGCCATAATCTTTTATCAGCCATGCTGAAAATTCAAGCACTATCCAAGAAGTGACCGCAGCAAATGGTTTTATTTATATGAGCGCTTTTTTCGGTACTGCGCATACTCCGTACCTCGGTACTCTTCTGCAATGCTGACTTTCACCTCTTACTGGCAACTGGAAGAACGCTCGATAGGTGACTCTATATGTATGGATAAGATTGATTCCGTTCCAAGGAAAAAAAATTATTGAAAGTTGGTACGTACTTACACCCACTGCTTACCTACAGAGGCATTCCCAAATCCTCAAGCTTATTAAAAATCTAGTCTAAAGTACTTTGATCTTGAGTACTCTATTTATTAGTTTATATTTCTTATTGTTGGTACTATTTATGGCCAATTTGAGTATTTGTAATGAGTACCTACCTAAAGGGAAACAATTTAACTTTTAGATTTGTTTTTTTAAATTGTTAAAGTAGCACTAGTACTCTTTAGAATGCTTAGAAGAATGAAGAATGTAACTAATGCACTGAGGAAAAAACTGTATTTTCTATTAGTAAATATTGCTTTGGAAGATATTTATTCATATTGAAACTCGTAGTGTATTCCATAATATAACTTACTAAATATGATAACAAGAAAAAATATTGTTTAATAATAAATATATGTGTTGATTGTTGAATAATCTATTATAAACTACAAGTTAGATGATTTGCAATAAAACTATTTGGGTAAAATATACTCAATCGTTACTAATATAGGTGAAAAATTTGTAAATACATGATTGACATATGAAAAATATAAACATATGTTGTATTAAATATATTGTAATTCTGATAAGTAATTAATTAATTTAATATAAATTTATTATATTTAAAATTATCAATATTATAGAGAATAATAAATAATATTTATTGATTAATATCTAATATATGGACGTAGTCCGCCTAATTTCACTGGCTTTGTTGGCTATTGTTCTATTTCATTTTGATGGATGCTGTACCGTACGCCACGCCGTACTAACCGTACCGTTTCCCAAAATTCCTGCAACCATCAGGCTGGTCGCCGGTAGTAACAGTTTTGTAGTGCAAGAATTTTGCTTGTATTTAATTGTTTGTTACATAATTGTGTAAAAGTGCTTCTGTAAAGGATACTACTATGCAGGTTAGTAATGAATTTGTTCTGATTGCATTATTTAATCACAACAACAAAAATTACAGGAACCGGAGCTCATGAGAGACTGAAAAACAAATTTGTGGAGGATTTAGGATTGGAAAGTTCAATTCCTTTATTTGTAAGTAAACATTAATCCTTAGCTTTTTTTGTTTTTGTAACGGTTTTTATTTCATTGCAGTTAATTCAATCAAGAACATGGCAGAATTGGAGCTGCATGCTAGTTCACGACGAACAGTGTTTCGAAGAAATTTGTCCAATCAGAGGAGAAAAATTTTGTCTTCTTGACCGAAGGAGAAATAATTAATTTGTAAGGTATTGCGTTTTTTCCTATTCTGAAATAAGTTTTCTTTTGGTTTTTGTTTAGGAAGACTGCATCTATAACTAGTTCTGATGCATCTACTTCACAAGACTTTCGACCCTTACCGTTCTCGACCCTTATTTTTGTTCTATTGTTCTTGTTAATGTACCTCGATTAATAACTTAAGTGCAATAAATATTTTCAAATCCTACCTTTATTAAGCATTTTTCATTTGCAACCATTCTTATTTTTCCGTTTTATTTACAGGATGACTTGTATTTCTACTTTTATATTTTTGGGTTAGTTTTCAGTAAAATCAGTTAAAACCGAAATTAGAACTGATTTTACTGAAAACTAACCTAAATATAAAAGTAGCAATACAAGTCATCCTGTATAAATGAACCTAATATAATTATTAGGTAAATACAATTGAGAGTTGATTAAAAATAAATTCAGGTTGGTTTTATAATAAATATTAGTGTATTTATTATTAATCTATCGAGTTCATAAAAAAACCTAGAAAAGTTTGTTAATAACCTGGTGTAGTTGTGTTGATATCATTAATAGTGGCAATAAATATATAAGTATTTTTATTTTTAATCAACATTTTATTTTAAGGAATACATCGTATATTACTAATTTAATAGTCAATTATTGGTTATATCCTAATAAAAATTGGTTATGTCGGATTCTGATTCTCTCATAGCTTAATTCTTAACCACATTGGTTACATATAACTCAACCTTTTTCTCAGTGTGTAATTAAAATTTTAGTCGTTTTTTATGGGTAGGAAACGAATATGTTGCTAAGAATACTAATGCAATATTCGATACAGTCATTGAACCGGATGTGTTTATTTAATTCTAACAACATTAAACTGTTTATTTAGGCAATTCAAAAGTGCACACAACAAATATATATGCACAGGAGAATTTAATTAGGTACAAAAATATCTCGAAAAGTATTAAAAATTGTGATAAATTGGGGTAAATATTTGCTAATTTCTGTATACTCCGTTTCACATCGTTGTACATCAAATTTCAGCTTAACATATAGAAATAATACACTAGAATAATGAATTGAAAACACTTTATTATCTCTTTCACATAATTCGGTAGTCAAATTAAATACTTGTGTTCAGCAAGTTGGATTTCCAACAACAACCAATATTTAATCAATTAATACTGGAGAAAATAATAAAGTAAACGAAATTACCATTGTATATAGTTTTACATTATAGAGAAGTAAAAGTGGCAAATGCAAGTACGAGTGAAATCACAACTATAATTTTCGTGTATACAGCGAGTGTCATCAACTTTGTTCACACCTTGACATACTTTTATCACTTTCTTCCTTTCGTTATCACAGATCCCATCGATTTTTCTTCATAAAAAAATCGTAATAAGCGAAATTTTATATTCAATCGAAAACAAGTTTACGTAACGAGGAAACTTCTCAAGGAAGACGTCGAGACAGAAAATCTTTCAATTTATTTATCAATAGGAATTTTTCTTTCGGTATAAAAATCGCCCTGTCACTGCACCTAAAAAAGTGTTGTCTTCAGTTTTGCTGTTTGGACACTCCCAGACTTGCAGGAAGTCGCATGTTAGTACTACGTACCGGTACGCTGTTGGTACTTACACCACAATGACGTAAAGACTCATTGAAGGTAAACCTCTTAAGAGCATTTGAGTCGAATTACCAAGAAGTATTTTTATTGTATATTTAATTACCTTTATCGAGAAGACAACATGCATGTTGTGAATAATGGTCAGTTGCACTGCTATCTTCTATTGATTTATTAATAATGTATAATATTGTTGTATGGTGGAGTGAAGATAATGCAAGAGGTAATTTATTGAAGAAATTAAGAAAAACGGGTATTTACCCAACGTGGTATATAAATCTGCGGTTCAATCGATTATAATCTGAAAAAAGAAATGAATTAATTAAAATTAAAAAGCGACTTATTCTTAATTAATTTCTAAAAGTCGTTGTTGATTAGAAACTGTCTAAGTAGGACTCATAACGACGTAATTACGGGCTTTGAGACAATACCTTGTACAATTAACGATCAATTAGAAGGAAAAAAGATTTAAGAATTTTTAGATAGAAAGTATGAACACTCCCCAAATAAATTTTTCGCTTAATTAAAATTAGTTTTCTTGTTCGAAAGAAAAACGGAGTGAAAATAATCTGAAAACTCTGGCGGATTTTTAATATACATACCTACGACAATTATAAATGAACATGCAGACGGTATTTTTCAAGAATTAATACATACTCACAATTTATTGCAAATAATACACCTCACTTAAGAATTTCAGAACCTCCCAGAGTTTCTTGAAAGCAAGTTGATGCAAATCACGGTGCTTACTTGTACTAATCATTCGTGTAGGAATATGCAGATAAGTGGAGAAACACTAACATTTAAATTAAATTTCTTTTGAATAATTCTCGGATAAATTTTATAAGAGTTACATAAAATATTTTACGAGTTGTAAATATTGAAGTTTTTAATTCGTCACTAAATACTTTGTGACCCCTTTACATTTTAAGATTAATGGGAAGATATTTTAAATGCCTCGTTAAAATTCGCCAGCAGTCAGAATTTAATTCATTGTTATAAAACAAATCAGCCAATTGGAATTTGGAATCTAAACGACCCACATATAAAAATTTAATAGGGTAGTATGAATTTCATACATTCTGTTTGAAATATGTAGGAAATTTGCAGTTCGAACAGTGATAATTAAATTATTATTTATTCTGCAAAGCTTATCATGATGTGGTACTTTAGTTTTATAGTGTAATAGAGTTGGAATGTATCATTTGAATAATTTACATTTTATTAATATATACTTCTCATAGGACTTGTAATTTTTAATTTTCCATACATAAAAAAAATGAATTAAACCTTTATCGTTGGGAATAACTTTAATATTCCTTAATTTTTGCTGGTAAATGTATTAAGAACATCTTTAAATGTCACTTGTTCATCTTACCTAACATACAGTGATTTTGATTTATCATTATTCATTAGTATATTTTTATTTTCGCTAATGGGGAGTCAGTTGTTCGGTTACAAAACGTTGATGTCCTGAATCCAATATGAAGATCTTATCTATTATAATGTTTCTTAGAAAAACTAATAGACCATTTGCCAGTACTTTTCCCTTTATCTTTCTTATATTATTTGTTTTCGACACTTAAGAATAAGTTAGTCCTACAGACATGTTCAATTTTAGGCAGTTAAAATTCAAAGAAAGAAAGCTAATGAAAGGTTTTCTTGCTTATGCCTACACTTAACTTCCAATTTGACAATTAAATTAATGGTATATGTTTCCGATGTTTATACACAATTAGCTGCGTTGGATTCGCATCACATTTTTTTTTTAGTTTATACTCGTACATATATGATTAGACATTACTTTCACCGTTTTATTTACGTTGATACCAGGAGTACAAAATAACTGCTATTCCTTCCTTAATTTTCTTTATAAGAACTAATCGTAATTAAGCGAAACGACGGCAATTCGTCGATTGTATTGTCGAATGTACTTGCCTATATGCTTACTTTATAGCTCTACGTATACGTGCGTATTACGTAAATTAGCTTTTTTGCAAACAATAAAAACCAAACTCATGCAGAGGATTTTATGACAATAATTCATGAAATTGGCTATGTTGGTTTTATTCATGATATGACTAACTAATTATAGAAATTTCTCCATTTTTGATCGCCGTTTTAGAGGAGATGAAGCAACGAGAAATGCCAGAACATGTCGCATTTGAATTGGTAATAAGCTTATATGAATCACAGGATGTTAAGAAAAATTAAGGTGCAAATTTACAATAATGCTTCTGCAATAAACTATTTGGAATTAAGGGGAGTGTAATTTATAGAATGCATAAGTAGAACGAATGCTCATAACATTCTTCGATTTCATGATAACCATTGAATAACAAAACAAATTAGATAACCGACTCAAAAAAGCATTAAAAACATATTTACAAATACCCAGACTGCCTAATTAGAATAATTTGGCAATGGGTAAAATTGATAAGGATCTTTTCTTATTTACTCGAAGTGAAAGGCACATTAGGAATTTTCGAATTATTAAATGGTGTTTTTACTATTTGTCTGACATTTTGATAATGTCTTACTTCTGTGTAGCAATAGGATGAGCCGAAGAGCTATGGCAATGAACTTTCGTAGCCGTGCAGCATTCTGAAGAAGACTTTCGTTTTCCTAAAAGAGATTTACTGATCGTGAACTCAAGATTTGAAAGATTTGAAAGAGAGCGAGTTTTAAGTACTTCGCGATTACTTAGAGGTTCTTCTTTTATAACTGATTTATTGGCGATAAAGCGGAAGGACTTTGAAAGATACGAACTTTTTTTTAGAAATTGCAATAGACTTACATAGTTGCTCATCATTCAATTCGAAAAATTCCAAATAAACAGCAGTGAATTTTAATGGTTAAAATGGTTTAATACGGGCTTTTTTTCCGATTATAGGGTGTGGCAGTAACGAGATTTTTAAATGGCAAACAAGGGTAACCGGATATGAAAACCTTGGTTGACACGAAAAAAATTCTGCCTACGTCGTTTTTGCAGGAAAACACCAAAAAAGCAACATTCAATGTTTTTCCTGGGACATTAAATACACATAATTTCGTATCTTGTTAAGAAAACAAAATTTCAAGAGATTCAAAAATGATGTATTGGGTAAAATAATGATCTTAAGAGTGACTGACCTACTAATTATTCTTTTTAACAACCAATATTTAATCCAAAAACAGTTTTTGCGAAAACCTTCATACGATACACGTTCCAACATATTCCAAGAAATTTTACTTTTTGTTATGGTGTAAGATTAAAAGATTACCGTGAAAAATGAGCTAACTTATAGGTGTCGTTTGAAGCTTTTCGGGCGAATTATGCTAATGAAATTTTTGAAACAGCCTTATTTTTAGAATTTAATATTACATTTTTCTTCGGTGGATATATCAAGGTGAATTCGATTAGACTTTTAAATTTTTAGCGAAAATTGAATTATTTGTAATAAAAGGTTTTGCTTATTTGGTGTAAAATTGATTATTTATTAATTTTTTTCGACCATTTACGTATTATTTATAACTGTTGTTTAGAAATTTCTCAAAATAGAAATAGAAAAATTTTAATCTTAAATAATAACGTATTTTTTTTAGTTTTTAATTTTTAAATGCTGGCCTTGGTCTTTAGGTTACAAGTTTCTTCCGCATTGGGTCAAGCTTATCAAGCTTTTAAATGCTTTATGTTTTATACACACTAGATTTGTTTTTTCTTATAAAGCTTCTTTATTAATTTTTTTCTTATATTTAACACACATATCATACTGTATAAAAGAGTTATAATAATTTTTTAATACGTTGCTAATATCTCGAAAGACAATTTAATAATATCGTGTATTGAATCATTGTAAAAAATTTATAAACATTAATTAAAATAATTACTTTTGTCGACTCCGTTAAAATGGTTTTGAATTTCAAATTTTCTCTATGATTTATGCATATGTACTTTTCAAAAATCAGCTAAATGCATAAAATATGCAATATTAAAAAATATTAACCGGATACGTTTTGAATAATGTTATGTTGTAGGGACAAACTTTTTTGCTCCACATCGCATAAATTTGAATTTGACATTGCGTAAAAAAATCCGTATCGAATCGACTTCAATAAAACATAAATAAATGACGTGCTACATTCTAACCAGTTCTTCGATTCTTTGAAATAACTCTGATCTTATGAACATAAAAAAAGATAACGGTGACCTTGAAATTCAAAGAAATAAATATTTCCATAATAGCTAATCTTGTTTATGCGACTCTTCAGCGGAGTTGTAACGTAAATTTGAAATCCATAATTAATAGTATTTCAGTACGGTGTTACGGCCTGATACTGAATTCCTATCGACATTTAAGAAGAACCTTGACAGTTACGACAATGCGCTATAATTTGTAATGAATTTTAACTGTTTATTTTCGTTGTTATAATAGAATGTGAAAGGAATAAAAATGACGGGCAAAAATGAGCTGTTGTTTATGCATTTATTTCTCAATAGCGCTGTCTTAACTTTCATAAGAAGTTACTGAGGTGATGATAAAATAATTGTGCCTCAGGATGTTTTTTATTAATTTTAAATATCAATTATATTACTCAGTTTAAATTTTTTAATCAATTGTATTTTTTACTTGGAGATTTTAAGTAACGAAAATAAAATAACCAAAAAATATACTGTTGAATTAATTTTATTTATTCCTATAAAACATACAAAAAAATACATTTTTTTACAAAAAAAACCTAATAGGAGTGTATATTACATAAAAAAGTGAGAGTCACTTATGCTTCGAGCAAAATTCTTTAACAGTCTAAATCATAGTTTCCGTTATAACAAGAAATAAATCACGTAAACAGTCAAATAAATACGAAAAATAATTGTTAACATTTGATCACTAGAATACCCACTTGAAAGGGCGACGCCGCTTTAATGAAACTACCCTATAAATTCAACTAGAACTGACTTAGTAAATGCCGTCACCAGTGGGATCGTTCAACCATGGGTAATTGTTCGGACACCTCACGCAGGTTTGTAGGTTGATGGTTTCTCCAGGAACTTCGGACGAGGTGAGCTTGCAACTGTGCGGCACCCAACAGGCCTGGTTACCTTCGACGACGCACTTTTCCCTCCACGGTTCGAAGTTCTTGGCCTCGGAGATCGTTCTCGGATTCTGGATCCATTGGATGACCTGCGTCATTGTCACGAAGTACACGTCGTTGTGATTAGCCAGGACTTCGTCGATCCAATAGAGGAAGGCGTCCAGGAATTCGGGGTTGTTCTTCAACCAAGCGGCGTGGAAGTAGAGACCGAGCGGGGCGCGGTTTTCGTTGTAATGCCTATCGAAGTTGTAGTTCAAGAAGTTATAGAACTGGTCTCCTGATAATATGTTGGAACAGGAATCCACCATAGCGCAGCCAGGTAGATACTCGTCGTTTTCGGGATCTTCTCTTCTATCTAATTCGTTGAGGACCATCTCCCAAACTGCGTGTGACCTAGACGGGCAGTGTTGGATATTACCGTGGCATTTGTGCGGCATTCTGAAGTACATTGTGTATGGCCACAATGGCGGATTGTTCAATGGAGCTGTAATGGTGGAATCGTAAAGGAAAGCTTCCTCTTCCATCATGGTGAATTGGTTGTTTCCTCCTACTCTTAAGTAAGGCGCTCGAACACCAACGACGCTGTTGTCCGTGATGTTTGCGAATTTCTCCGTGATGATTCTCATACCTCCCATTTCCTTCACCCAGTCGTTTACGCTGGCGTTAGACCAAAACTGTTCGTCGTCATTGTGTCTTTAATGAAGAGAAGAATAATAGAATTAATAGAAGCACAATTGTAGTCGAAGTTTATTTTTAGTAACGCTTAGCGAATAAAAGAGAAGTTTATAGAATTACATAACTATACTTACGATATAGAGTGTACGGCGATCTCGTGACCTTTTCTATGCATCTCCTGTACGGCCGAGTAATTGGTGTATTTGTGAGAAACGAAGAACGTGGCCTTGATGTCACAACCGTTAGGATTTTTACGTTCGCCGTTGAAGATATTCTTGTACAAGCCGATGTTGTTGTTGTTAATGGCATCGTCGAAAGTGATTGTGATCATCTGAGGTACGTCTTTGGCAGGAAGATCATTGGGAATGGCCGTACCGTCTTCGGAGCAGAAGCAATCGGGGAGGACGCAAACGGTGGGATCGCAATGGGGCGCGCTGTTTGGATCACTGTCGATATCTGCAACGAAAGAAACAATTTTTTTCTTAAATTTGATCACCCCGTAAGTTGATTGTAAGGAAGGTCGCCCTGTAGACCGGTCGACGTAACTCGATTAGTTATACAAAAATAAACGAAAGTGGTACCAACTGGCTCCCGTCCGAGCAATCTAGATACCTTCAGGTGTAAAAGTAAGAGCGGCACCAGCCTATCTGTATCGTGACATCGTCGATGCTGTTATTTGCATATACGAGTTCCGAAAAGTGAAACTGATCCGAAACAAAGGTCGGTACGACCGTTCGTATCACTCCCAAGGCCGTTAAAACTGATTTACACGAATAATTTCATAGTCGAATTATCTCTACATACAAAATCTAGTACCTATATGTAATTAATTAATAAAACCAATTCCGAAATGTGTTAAATAATACGCAGGTAACCAAAATTATAGAGTCGTTTCGTAATGACCAGTGAACTTTTTCTATTTCACTGCGACTTTGCCAACTGTGCCACTGACACTTTAAAATTTCATAAGAGTCAACGGCAAAACAAAAGCAGTATTTGATAGAACAGAGACAGGCTGCATTCCTGAGATGGAAAGTGGACCCGATGTAACAGCAGTAGCTATACGCGATATACGACCGACAGCTACTGTATCATTTTTATCACCGCTGCAATCTGCATTAATAATACTGGCCAAAAGATGCGTGTCGAACATGCGATGTTTTATTGTGCTCGGTTTTTTTATCAAGCATTTTCTATCTTGCTCTCTATTTCTAATTGTATACTGAAAGTACAATAATTAATAAAAATTACTTAAAATTGTAAGACTAATCATCAATACCTTCTTCAACTTCTTTACAAATCAAATTTTGTCAGTATTGAATATGATAGTAAAAATAAATGTTTCAGAATAAAATACACATACACACGTACTACATGATTTGCTATTTCTGCTGATTACTTTGATGAATTTGCCTACATGTCACGCGAAAAAAAATTAAGATCCGATCCGCATTCCGCGATATAGACGCAAAAGGGAAAGTAAAGCTGCAACTTATTGCGATTACATGATCTTGCGGATGCAACAACAACCCATACACCTGATGACATTCTAAATCAACGAGCCCATCTTGTACCTTATTGACCAAGCAGAGACGAACCACGCGTGCATATTTAAATACATATTAATTAACTTAAATTCTGAGTGAATTGCAAATAGGTATGTATAGTAGTTGACAAAAAAAATAAGTTAGCTGCTTCATAAACATTGATGTTCTATCTACGCATCCAAAAGACCAAACATTATGAAAAAAAGTATTACAGATTCCATAAATACGGTAAAAATTTCGATAATCTTCAGTCGAATTTGATTTAAATCATTTACAAAATGCAGCGATTAGAAATAACTTGCGACATTTTGGAAAACTTTCGTAAATTCGTTCCTAATTTGGCATCGATTTGGGCTCGTCCATTACTGGTTACACATTCTAATGGCAGGCGGCGTTACATGGGATTTTATTGGGTTAATAACTTACTTAAAAGTTAGATGATAGGTCGGTTCTCCGGGTTTTTTAAGACACTTCGTAATTGAAGTGTGGTGCAATAACGACGTTAGATAACTTGACGCGTCTTGATTGATGTATTTAACGTGAAATTGAAGTATTATAAAGGAGCTTAGAGAGCGGAAGCCTCGAAGGAACCGGCCGTTTCCGAATGCTCCGGTGATTTATATAAATTTGCGTTTATTTTAATCCGGTCGTATTCGTTTTGATTTGATCGATGGTTGCGTTTGTGCTTCAGTGACAGATTTTGCACATCCGTAACATCTGTTGTAATCCCTCAACTTAATATAAAGGATGATTAATAATTCCTATACACTATGTAGTAGCATCTGTACGAATAAATATAAATAATAGCTTTTAGACAACCATTGTAAAATAATTATTTAAAGGGCATTATTTCTACTTCCCTTTAAATATCATGAAATCATATTTGTGTTGTAACAGGAAACTCTTAAAATTTTTATGGAACTGCGCTTGAATTATTTACCAACTATTGATCGTTGAAGGTGAAATGAACAACTGAATAATGATCGTGACATTGGTATCACTATTGACACTCGATAAGCTATAAAACATTAATTTGGTCGAAAATCGATAACTCACCACAGGTAGTTTCATCGGATCCATCCTGACAGTCTTTTTCCCCGTTACAGAAGAAACCCCTTTCGATACATTCTCCATCTCCGCAAGCCAGCAAATCCGCTCCGTTACAAATCGGCTTGTCAGTGAACAGCATCGGCTTCACCTTGCGTTCCTTGTTCTTCAGCTTGCAATTCTTCACCGAATCCTTCCAATCGCACGTCTGCTTCTCGATGTCGAAGTACAAACCGGCCGGGCATCTGATAGCTTGTAGACCCTACAGAACAAAGAAAATTCGGTTAATAAAAAAAGCATTTTGTGATTCATACAATCACAAGAAATTTGAGACAGTATGCTTGAATGCTTTGTATCGAGACTTACTGATGACGTGCATTGAATGACATCACGACAGGTATCGCCGTCTCCGCTCACCAAACGAAACCACTCGCCGGCGTCTTTGTCTTTGCAAATTTCGGCCTCGAAACTCTCCTCTTTCTTCGGCTCTTCGCTGGTCTGTTGTTGGGCCAAACCTTTCGACAAAAACCATCCCGAATGTATATCAACTTGCGTCGAGGTCGTGCAATAGAAAGAAATTCTCGAAGGCGAGACCGTGGAATGGATGCCGCAATTGCCGATTCATTTCCAGTTGGGAAACGAAGCGCATTTAATCGTAACGCTTTTTTTTATCGATATCGATTAATCATAGTTGTGAAGAAGTTATTTGTATCGCAATTAGATGCAAATTAGAATTTTAAATTTATATTTTTATGCTAATTTATCGCGTAATTATGAAGCGTTTAAGAGTTAATCTACTATTTGAATAATATGAGGCTTTTACACATAAATTTTATGTAACCTTTGGGTGTATATATTTTTATTTATTCATTCAATTTATTGTTGTTTGCAGGGATGTCGGAGTTGATTCGACGAAGAGAAATGTATAATCCCGCGAGCAATGCTATAGAAATTTTCAACAAACAGGTATGTAATTTGATTTAATATTCAATAATTTATCCGGGTATTATTTTGATTGCCAATAAACATTTTTAGAGGTATTAAAAGTGAAAGTATATATTATAAATTGTCGAGATGGCGCAGAGCCAGTTGTTTAAGATTCTTGCGACATCTAATCTTTAAGAAAAAGTATTTTTCTCGCGAGAAATTGCTCAAATTGTTTAGGGATAATCCCATGCAGAATATTCACATCAATTCATCTACACTCAACAACTGTTGTAATTTTAAACCTATTAATTATAGATTCCAAGAAGATCTGAATAATTACAATAATTAATCTAAAATAAAAACCCACAAATTAAAGAAAGAAAATAAATTATTACGAATCGTTAATCAAAACCGATGAGAGTTTAAATGTTATTGACAGTAAACATATTTATATTTATTTTTGGATCTGCCCATATCTGCTGAACTCTAAATTAAACTTAATACATATAATGGAGTAACAAGGACAAAATTCGCGAAAAAAATAACCCTAACCGACACTTCTTCTGATTCCCCTATATACCACAGAGCAGTTAATCACGTTTTTATCAACGACAATCAGTATTTTTTAATCTTTTGTATCATGTCATGTTTATTAATGCCTAACACACCCAAAATTCTTGAATATCATTCAATCTCGCCTGTATGTACCTATATTCAATAAATTTAATTTCTAACCTTGATTATGAGTACAAGTGAAATTTTAGAATCGCACAAGGCGATAACCTGAACTAAAATTGTTTTACAAATGATTTGAATTTTAATGAATTAAGTAGGTGAAGAAAGAAGAAAATACCTAATATCGTTATCACTATATCGTACATTCTTCAATAAAATCCTGCGGTAGGTCAGTGGGTAATTTCAATTAATTTCAATTAATTAACACTCAATAATTAGGGTCTATTGATAATTTACGGAATGTACTGCAATTACATTTATGAAAATATGTAGGTATTTGCAGGATATATAGTTAGATTTCAAATTTCATGTGCATTGTAATAATTATTAATTATATATTTTTTAAGTCGAGGTTGATGGGCAGTCTTATTTAAAAAATACCGTATACTTATTTGTGAGTTAACAATTTTCATTTTTGTGTCCTCTTTAATGCCCTATTTTTGCGTATATTTTTGCTCCTTGTTGCATTGCAATATGAGATGCATGCATCTCATTTCTGCAATAGAGCATACTTAGAGCTTTCGAACAAATCCCTTGTTTTTTAAAAGGAACGAAATGTTTATAATTCTGCATTAACGCAACTAAAATCTAAAAACTTTTGGTTGGTAAAGTTCGGTGAAATTTTTAAGCCTCGCTCGCCTCTAACGAGTGAATTTTAAAAAGAAATTTCGTTCAATCGGCAATTTCAGCCGATTCGACCGACGTAGAAATTACGAATTGCCATTGATCGAACGCATGATGTGAAAGTTGATCGCCTTGCAGTTTTCTCTAAGGATTTTTAGAAGACCAAACTTAGTCGCGTTGTTAATGGCTCAACTATTTCTGGAATTTTCACGTTTGCCATTAAACTGTCGTTAATAATAATTGCTAATTGACAACTGCTTAATTAGTTTTTCACTTTTATTTCATGCACTGTTGTATAAACGGGTAATGTCTGTTGCAATGCGTGTATTATATACGCTTGTCAAAATACGTGTAGGTGGATAAATCTAGTTAAAATAAAGAAAAAAATGTAAATTCGTTTGCAATATAGAGTAATTAAGTATCATGCAAGGTTAACAAATACTTTGTCTACAAACTTTCCCATTATTGCTAATAGAGAATCAACTAAGCATATAGTTGAATCTTGAGCAATGAAATTAACAGTAAAATGGAAAATGAATAAATAAAATTGAATTTTTGTGGTATACTCGGTTTGATGTTTGTGAAATATAATTCACCATTGTTCTACCATTGCTTTCGATGATTTGGTTTTTCATCAAACATCATAAAAAAATGAAAAATTCCTGCTGTAAATTAACTTAATATTAAAACACCAATGTAGATATATTAATGGAGAGTATAAAATTGTAATAGTATATGCAGTAATAGTTTACTCATTATAATATAAACTACCTATGATGCTAATTTATTTTGGAAATAAATTATTTTTGTTATATTGTATTTCGTAAATAAAATAGGTAAATTCATATTTTGCGTATTAAAATTATATAATTCAGTTTCGTTATTATATAAAGCGTTAATAACCTATTACTAGTGAAAAAACGCATTTTTTCAAATAGTTTCTAACAAGTACTCGATTTCGATTTTTACCAAGAATCTCATAACTTTCGGGGTGAATTTTTGCGGCATCCATCCACATATCGAAAAGAAAAAAAAACACGATTGATAATCGTGTGGCATCGCCCTGTAGATGAAAATATTTAGGCGCACTTACCGCTAGCGGCTAGCAACGATAGCAATAAAAACTTCGTTGCGTAGTACGCCATGACACTGTAACAACTGGAAGCACGGAAAGCACAACGACACTATTTACAGCCGTACCACACCACTGATTTCTCGCTTTTATAGCCGGCCTACTTGAACCCCTTCTAGACGGACGTCACTTCGCCAGCGAGCCTCGCACGAGGAGGATGGCCGGTTGGTAAACTTCAAGATTTCGGTGAATTTTTACCAAGATGTTCGGTTTCCATGCAGACATGCTAAAAGCGGCTTTTAGCAGGAAACTGGTTTTCAATTTCTGGTTCTAAGTTTTTAAGGAAAACAGGAATTGGTACCACTTGAGTACCTGCAATCTTGAAAACTTGCTTGAGATTTAAGGATGCAACAATATACGTAGAAAGTCCTGAATGTATTCAATTCTAAAGTACTGAAAGGACTTAAAGTTATTAAAGGAATCCAAGTAACAAATTTATCTAAACCTACTGGGTGCCTAGTAGATTTTGTTGTCTTGGTAAAACTTAGGGGCCATCTACGAACTCCATGTACTATTGTTCCCGAGGGGCAATACGAATCCTGAAGGAAAAGTTAAGAGGTAAACTCACAGGGACGCAAAGCAAAGTAACTTTACATTAAAGTAATTTCAATGAAGGCATTTTTAATAGAGCAATTGATGATTTAATTTCATAAATTGTAAAAAATATCTGGAAGTTTATTGAAGGGAGCGATTGCAAATTGAAAAAATTCGATATTTCTAAATGAAAGACATCTGAGAAATACGAAAAAGAATTCGAATAATTGAAAAACAGACTTCTCTTTGACATAATATCAGAATATTCATCAATTCAATATAGTTTGTGTTTTGAATCAAAGATGTCTCATATCTTCACAGAACGATGGAACCACAGAAGGACAGAACCACAGAACATACGCATAAACTGATGTCATGCATATTTTAAAATATGTTTCAGCGTAACTTTATAATTTTGATACTTTTTTCTTATTAAGGATATATTATCTTTAAGTTTATATTAAGGACATTGTAAGGATGCAGAGGAATAAAAATGCATGTATTAAATTTGACATATTGGTTTATTAACTCTACTATACTCAAGAAAATTAGGGGCACCTGACCCCTTTGTATGATCTACTGATCATCATCACATCATTAGTTTATTCTTATATTAATCAATAAACAATAATATATCAATCGACTTCATTACGTCCGAAAGACATAACGTGAACATTAAAACTTGACAAAATGTTTGACTATATTTTATTACAGTTTTTTTTTTATTTTTACCTAAAAATTAAAAAGGAAATTGAGAACAAAATTTGGATTACTAGTTTTAATTTAAATACAATATGGAATGAGTTTATACATCATTCGTTTTAAGTGTATGGCACAAGTAACAAAAAAAATCAAAACACAATTAACTCCTGGAGAAAACATTTAAACGTCAAAGGCAAGGACCGTCGGCCTAAAAACTAATCACACACTTTATCAAATTTGTTCATCAGAACCAAACGACAGGCATTTAGAAACGGCTCCGACGCTTCCCCAAAAAACGAACCATTCAATTTTTTATACAATATTACAAGAATAAACAATTTTTAATATCAACACGATTTTTTTAACAAAGAAAATTGTGATATTTTCGTTTCAAGATGATAACCCCCTTTCAATCGAATACCAATCCAACTTCTATACGCCTGTCGTCAATTCAACAATAAGGAGAAAATTTGTCCAATATCATATGTATTTTTTTCCAAAATATCATGCATACACTCTTAATATTTTACATTTAATGATCATTACATAAATATCAATATTATACATTATATTTATATTTTTCAAAAAATAATCTGTCAATTTTTATGTTAAGTGTTCTTCTCCTTACTTCTGAATAACCTCGCCCTTACAGGATTATTGTGAATGAGTTCCTAAAAGTAATACCGATTTACCCAACATTTCGCTTCCTTCCAATCATTTTTTTTCAAACGGAGATTTCACACATTTTGTCAGTGACACTTCCAAAAAACAGCATTAGAAATGTTGGACAATGCGCATATTCGATAACCGCAGAGGTAAAACGACTATGTAAATATTTAATAGAGTCGATTTAACCGCCGGGTTATTATTTTGTTGGTTAAGCCGAGGAGAAATGAAGCTAATCGAAAGAAAAAAAATTATACAAACGCTCCCTTCGCTTCTCTTCGGCGTATTTTTTTAGACAAACATCTACACGTTTGCATATCTGTGATGTGACTTTTAAATAACAATCATTACTAAAAATATCACAAAATTGTTGTTGATAAAATGAAAAAATAATAACGGAGCCACACGTTTTGCTTTATATACAAGATATTTTTTTTAAATGTCATTACAGATATATAATAGTAAAATTGGGGATTGATTAGAGAAAAGGTCCTTTTCTTATACTTGTGGCTCACCAAATCACTCTTGAATTATTATAATCAATATCAGGTTATTTTATCGACAGATTTTTCAAAAAAATATACGATTAACAACTATTTGGATTACAGAACGACTACTTTTTTGCTATTAGGTTATTAATGAAAACCACACAGATGAAACCCGTACAGTAAATTACGCTGCTCAGTTAGTGCCACAAATAAAACACCGACTTTTGAATCTCTTTACAGTAATTTTTAACACTTTATTGCGTTTTTAATTAAATGTTTTGTCCTGGAATTGTCGTAAAAATCGATTGAATATGCAAAAATAACCGTTCTGCTCACCTTAATCTAGGTTACTGATTAAAGAGTAAGAAAACCCACACAACGTAACTAGTATTGTCAGTTACCCAACAACAAAAAACTTCAACAAAAAACACATAAATATATAAAAAAATATAGTGAAATTTTTTTAAGGAAAAACTATGAATAAAATGAAACAATAAGGCAACTGACGGGCCTTAGTAATACTTATACAACAATATTTCTAAGCGAAAAAGGGTGTTAGTTATTATATAATTTCTTTATCTGTCAGCTGAATAAAGGCGATTACGCGTTAGCAGGCGAAGCTGAGCAATTTAGAGTAACAGCTGCTCGGTGCTTCAATGTGTGTGCTTCGAAGCTCGCCCTCGAATCGCGATCGAGTCGATAAAAGGGGTAAATAAAAATAAATCTATAAAAAAACGCAAGGGAAATTATAGTGGATAAATAACTGAATCAGAGAGAAGAGTGGCAGAGATCAACACCATAACTCGCATCGCGTTCGAGGGTACAAAAAATAAGCGATATTTTAGAATAGAAAAGGCCAAATTTCGGGGATGTATCAACAACAACTAGACAAAATTAGCGAAAGGGTAGTTAAGAGGAAAATGTAACATTTTTTTATATAATACCGGATTAAAAAATGGAAGCCTAAATACGATTATCGAATATTTTCCTCTTTTCCCTGATCGTATCGAAATCAAAGCGAAGCGAATAAAACAGGAAGGGTACGAAAAGCACGTCGGGGCGATCGAAAACGTTAATAAATCAAGCACAAAAAATAAACGCTAAGAAACAGCTAAGTCTATGCTATATATTAAGTATATAATAAGTGAACGATCGTAACTATAGGGACATGCAATAATAGGTAGTTTATACGTTAGGAAAAATTATCCTAGGTTAAGCTATTTACGGACTAATAATAATATAGCAGTGGGGTACTTTAACACACGATGTCATCCCACTGACGCCCCTAATAAATCGTACAGCCGCCAATTTACCAGATACATTTTACACAGGAAACACCGGCTCACTTCGCTAATAATCCACATCAATTATGCCGGGAAATTAAGAAGTGACGCCGCATTTTCCGCTTGGTATTTCACTGTACGTTCTGTTAGCAACGTCAGAAAAGAGCGCTGTGTTAAAAGGGGGGCTCGGGGTTGGGGTTAGGGGGGCAAGGGGCACAACCCAACAGAAACAGCTAATCTAGCAACCAATGCGAATGCACTATAAAGCGAAGCAGAGACCCGTGCTCTGATAATGTGGAAGCTCTCACTCTATCTCGGTATTAAAAGGGGGAAAGACTCCAGGAGAAACATTGGTCCAAAACATTCATTGTAGGCCATATGGCCTTTAATCGTACTACGCACTTTTCAGTTTTAAAAACGGTTTTTTCTCATCTCAAATTTGAGTAACTACTTAACAATGTGAAACGTGCACCTACATTTTTGATTATTATCCTGAAATAGAGCTAATTATAGCGGATAAGTTTGACAATATCAAATTACAAATTGAAAAGATGATGAATTAAAGGCTAGCAGGGTCTCGACGCATGTATACAATAAGGTCACTTCAAAAGTTTGAAATAAAATATTGAGATCAATTAGTTTGACGACAATTTATAAAGTAAAGTTTACTTCGAATATTGGGAAATAATAAACTGTAGAGAAATCAATTAAATGAAAATTTCATAGTCTATTGCACACATAAAACAAATAGTAAATTGGTAGTAAAATTTGTATAAACCTCTGTTGCTAATGAAGTTTAATTACTCGTGATTTGTAAACAAGCAACAATTCCAATGATTATTTAGGAACTGAGTTTAGGCGATTTAATTACTGATTTTCGACCTCAATTTTTTAATCGCCAGTTTGTTTATTGTACCTTGAACGATTTGTATTTGATTGTCTTTCAGAATTAATTACCCGATGAGAAAACCGGCGTTAGTTTGGAAACGAATTAAAATAAAAAGTGCGCGAAATACGAATTAAATCCGGCCAATGCGACCTAAAAATTCGAGACGATTTTCAATTCCCCAGGAATTTCGCTGAAGTGTCAAATAATTTTTTTGAATCACTTGGACCACTGCTCATATTATTAAATTCTTTCATTAAAAGTTTATTTTGTTAAATACCTAATAATTTTTTTGAACGCTATTCAATAAGACGAATAAAATTAACTCTTAATGCGAGTTTCTGTCTCGTTTACAACCTAAAAACTATTTACAAATATCATTAATATTATATAACAGCACTGCACACATACGTAAAAATTTACAAAACAGCCGACATCAATTTGACTGGGTTATTATAAATCAGTTCGATTTGTGCTTAAACTTCAGCGTTTTCGGCTCAAAAAAATTCGAGAAATCCCATTTTCATTCCCAGATTTATTCGTCAAATTGATGGAAGGTTTTTGCTACACACCACCCGATCTCGCAACCGGTACACCATCTCGTCTCTTAATACTAGACCGTCTGCGCATTCGTTTTACTTTAGTATTTAAATGCGTGTCAAAGGAACCTATCTTGTATATTTCGATAATTTTGTTTTGTTTTGTTTTGTTTTTTATTTTGTTTAGTTAACCGTTGTGATAGTGGCACTTGATTGGGAGATATCGAGTTAAATCATTCGAACTTACACAACGATTTTTGACTAGAACAATCTTTATCATTTAGCCCGTGGTTCAGATGTCATTGCTCCTGTCAAAAAACCATGCAGGCGATTTTTCGGAGCCCCGTTGGAAAAATTCCACCGCACCAAATTGGGATTTTTGGTGATTTATGTTTTTCAATTTGTTCGATTTTTCGATTGGTGGAATTTTTCCAACGACGCTGCCTTTTCACTTAAAAAACTACAGCCCCTAGGCATTAAATCAACCATTTAACATCTTTTAAAAATTTCAGTCTTCATTAAAAAAGTTAAAGGATAACTAGCTTTTTTTGTGACTGGACATTTTTCATTTTTCGTTGTAATTTTTTATAATTTTTTGAACAATTTCGATCGAATTGATGGTACAGGGAGGGGGGTGTTAATAAGTTGTGCATGTTAGGATGTGATTTAATGACCGTAAGGGTAATTATTTTACCGTTAATATAAATTGTTAATATTTTAGAATATGTATCATCCAACACCATTAAAAATCACAGCAAATATACAAAAAAATTAAACAAAGATTACTTAATAACACAGTGACAGTCATCACAATGGAATAAATGAAGATACTCCGCATATCTCCCTGTTCGACATTTTTTTTTTATTTTCCACTACCCTAATTATGATCTAATGGTTTTTTTTTGTCTATCTTAACAATCTATAAATTATTTTTCGCGGATCATTTCAACCAGACTACTGAATTTTTTTATATGAAAAACTAACGAATACGGTATAAAAAATATACAAAAGAGAATTAAATTTGACCGCGTTTGAAATAAAATCGTTTCTAATTGATTAAAAATATAAAAATATCCAAAACTTAACAAAAACAAATCACAACCTTATTAATTTTGTTTTTTATAGTTTAAAAAAACTTATTTCACAATTTAATTGCAAAACAATCGCTGAGAAATATAATGTATAAATAAAAAGATAACAAATAATGCAACAATGTTTGAGTATTTCATTTCGAAAATTATACAACACAAACATAATATAACAAAGTTTATACACCGATAAAAAAATGTATGTAATGTATTATTACAAAAAATGTATTAAAAAAAACGGTGTTTAAAAACTTATAATAAAATAGTGATGTTAAAAATTTTTGTAGCAGTCAATAAATCTGTTAATTTTTACGCTTTAGCCAGTAAGTCTGGTCGAGATAGATGTCCAACAGAGAAAAATCAGAATTACAAAATATCAAATATCACTCACGCACCCATTCATTTATAATTTCATTGAATTTTATCTTACTATACTAGTTTGTTTTTAAACAAAAAGAAACAATCAGTAACTTCTGAGCCTAAATAGTACAATTCGTATTGTTCATATTAACAAACTTCCTCGTTAATTTCCCGTATAAAAATTGTATTATTCTGACCGACAAGCCTACCAAAAAACAACGTAAACATAATTTTTCGTCATTACATGACTGCTTTTTTAGATATATAATATTGGTAATAAAAAGTTTTCTATATAAACATTGTGATAGTAGTTTTAATTAAATAAGGAATCGATTCGTCGTTGTTAGTGCTGCAGGTAAGAGGCCAGTGCGGCCATGACTGGTGCAGGTGGCAGCGCTATGGGGATGTGATAGTATTTACAGGCGGACCGACAGCACTGTCCCTTGGCAGCGTCACGGCATACAGCGACACGCTGGTCAATGACTTCCACACCCTCTCCTATACAAAAAAATAATAAGAAAAATGTCAATTTAATAACACCGCGGTTTAAAAAACCACGGTCGTATATAACAGGTCAGGAAACTCCTGTGAAGGAGTTGTTGCGAATGATGTGACTCTCGACAGATGGCGCTAGTATCAGGTAGTGTTGTTTAATACATAACGCAACTTTTCTTTTATTCCGCCATTTTGCCTTCCAAATATTCAAAATTAACACTACCCCACACTAGCTGTCCAAGCGGATTCCTCATGAACCATCAATCCAAAGGCACAATAAGCGCAACGCCCCCCACTACCAAATAAGCCTGTAAGTTTCCAGACCTGTATGATAGACCGTACTAAAAATTAATCAAATTCGAAATAAAAAAATGTTAAGTCTCAAACAAACCATCCAACGATGTCATTTATTATGAGTTACGAGTCAACTTTAATAAATTAGGCATGTTTAAAAAAATCGACTTACCTTCCTGAAGATGTACAAATCTGCAAGCAGGCCGGTTGCATAAACCACGATTAAAATCTTGGCACACCGGGAGGGTGTCCAGTAACTGAAAAATTAAAGGCTATTAATACGCAATCCCCAACGAGATAGGTTGTTTTTTTTTAATACATCAATTAAGATATTAATGAGAAAAATCCTCGAAGTACGCATATGTATGCACAAAAATAATAATAAAAAGAAACGTATTTATAAAATTTGAACTATGTTAAAGCGGCATACATAAGGCACTACTACGGTCAACCATAACATTTCAAGAAAAAAATTTGGATCGATGCACATGCCAATTAATTAGGTAATTTGTTATGGTCAGTAAATTTAAACAAAACGAGATAATCAATCATTCTGCACACCGTAATACCATTAAATTCATGAACAAATTCCAAAGATAGCAAGTTTTAATTCCAAGGACATTCTTAAACTAATCAAATTTAATCTATCAAGTATAAAAGCGTTTAACGTCAATAAATTGATCGATTACAAAATCAACGCCGGTCTTCACCTTCTAAAATAAGCTCATGAACGAAAATTAAAATACATCATAGTATACACTGTATTTGCCAATAGCACATATTAGTACAAACAAAAAAATTTTCTTTATAATACGAAAAACCGATCGGATAAAGCTGTGGCTGCGAAGGCCTAAAACCATTAAAGCGAAAGTGTTAGATTTGATCATGAAAAATCAACATGCAGAATGTTTGAGAATCCTCTTCTTTCAAAGAAAAAATTATATAAAAAAAGCGAAAACGTCGCCGTATTAAAAACGACATAGCGCAAAAAACTACTATAGGCGTTATGGTAGTACTACTGTCGAACTTTGCGCAAAGCACCATTAAGTAGAGAGACCCTGCGCAAAGCTCGATATGCAATCACATTGCCAAATTGATGGTTATTCGAAACTCAACAACATGTTTGCAAATATCAACAATGACAAGTTAAAGAGTGTTCATAAAAAGCTCCTAAGTAATTATTACAGAATTAATACAGAAAAAAAGTCCTTTTCATTAGATTTGCTTACTAATAAAATTAATAATGATTGAAAAAAAAACAATAATTTTAAAAATGAAAACTCTGTAACTCGCATAGTCTTGTTAATTCATGAAAGCTGTGCTACACGTGATTACGTTGTACGTTACGTAAGTGTGTTAATACTATACCAAGAATTTATTATTACGGTTTAGCCAAAGATGCAGTACAGCTAACATGACGTTAATCAAGTTTTATACCTGTCCTTGATCATCAGTGTAGATCACAAAAGGGGCGTTCGAAGGCGCACCATTGTCTATGGCGTCATGCAGTACGTGTGCAGCAGATAAAGCCAAAAAAAGAGTTATCGCAGCCAAAAAAAATTGAGCAATGCGACAACAGTTTACAGCCATTACGTGAATACCCACCACACACCGAGTTTGTGAATTTTTTTAGACAGCGTGTTAGAGTTTTTTTTGTTTTTTTTTTGTATTTTTTTGAGATTTGTTTTCGGTCGGTGGATTGACAGGGCACAAATGTTAGAGCGAGATGACAGTGTAGTGTAGTGTTACGTTAGAGGTGTTGGTGGGCGCAGAGGGTCCCAAATACCGAGGCAACGCCGGTAAATAACAACACAGTCCATATCAGCGATTCGGGAGGTTGGGTTGCAAATTATAAGTAAGAAAGAGAAAAGTAAAAATATTTCGACAAATTAATCAGATGGACGCGGCGTGAGAGAAACCAAGAATGGATGCATGAAACAGAAAAGCAAAAGAATACTATTAGATTGTTAATTGAAAATTCATCGCATCAGGACGATTTTTTCTAGATAATAGAAGAAATTCAAAAAATAATGTTACGGTAATTAATTTTTTTTGTATGTAGAATCATTTCGTCCGGATGCGATAGTTTAAAGAAACTAAACTTAGAAATAAAAAAAATAGAATCGAATAAAAAATTAGTTTTTTTCGATCAATATAGAAAAAAAGTTATAGTAAAATGCAAAATAATGTTACTTACAAATAAGTAGGTAGGATACAAGCAAAGAAGCAGTAGTACACTAATTAGGTATACAGACTGACGGAACAAAATGGCAAAATCCATATATCAAAAATAATAGATTTTCCTATATTTAATTAGCGTAAAATTTGTAATAAAAAAATCTATAAATTTATAATATATGGATACCGCCAATATTGCTCCTAAAACTATCTGTATAAATAAATAAAATATGGTTTTAAAAAGCTGTTACGTGTAGAACAAATCTGCGATGCTACAATTAGTCTATGCGGCTGGAGTCTGCAAACATAACATATTAAATATGGCGTTGTAAAAATCATAAAAATCATCATAAAATCCACAATAAATAAATGTTATGAAATTTCAATGTTCGTAATATTTTTTTAATTTATGAATTCCAATTACCTACGTATCACATTTTTACTTACTACAAAGCTACAAAAGTTTTGTTTTTAGGCAAAAAACGAGAAAATGTAGAAATCATTCGTAAATATACAAAGCTTCTCTAAATTTTTCACTCATGGCAAAAACACTACATAGTATGTTTCGGATACACTGCGCTTGCGATTTGATCACTGGTTAGTTGTTCTCCAAAGCTCGTTTTTATTTCGAAAGAACCCATTGTGCTTTCATCAAAAACATTGTGAATATTACTACTATACTTATTTATTATAAGAATTTTATTCATAACAAAAACTCGAAAGCAAAGAATACTTCACAAATATTTTGATAATCACAATTCCAACCATTCCAATAGCACCAAATTGGAAACTTCTATACTTGATATAATTTCCATTTATTATTGAATTAAAATTTTCCAACTTAGAACTGATACGACTGATAAGAAAAGCAAATTAATTACTTTCCTTAAAAGCGTAACATACGATTTTTTGTTGGGCCTTTCCTTAATGTTTGAGCAGCTTTGTGCAATGTGCGTTACTGGAAAAAAACAGTAGAAAGGTGCAAAATCTAGAAAGATAGTTTTCTCAGTCGAAAAAGACACCGTGAATTAACGCTGGGATATCTTTAGCTAGCACATTACACAAGCCAACAGTTTGCTGGATGAATTACTCGCTTGTACAAACTAAGTCCTAACTCTTAGTTTCTCTTTTCATTGTCATTAAATAATGAGTGTACAGGATGTCGAAGGATGCCTTGCCTAAATTATTTTTTGTGTTTTAAAATGAGCTTTCTTTCACCACTGCTTGATATGTAAAATTGTGTAGAGTTTTTCGTTAATTTCGGAAGAGAGATTGCTCTGAAATTATTGATTATGATCGAATAGGAAATAATTCGTTATATTGGTGAAATTTACAAGTAAGGGAGCACAATAAATTGAATACCGAAGGTAATTTTCGAATATTAGAATAAAGAGAAAGAAAAGGTAATGAGAAGAATAGACAAAGAATAAATATCGTACAGCTTTTACAAATATTTTTTAATAAAAATATTGAAACTTCTGTGCATAATTTCAATAAATTCAGAGAATACTCAGCTTGGAAAATAACTGTAAAAACAAATGAGCTACAAATCGATAAAGAAAAATCCTTCCTTTGATATCATCTTAGATATTTTCTTTACTTTTTCATCACGTCCAGTATTGTATATTTAACTTAATTTTAAGCAGGACAACGATAATTTTTAACTACGCATACCACTGATTTTTTTGTACAATGAAATTAATTAGTTAATTGAATGAATCCTGCAAAAAATCAAATTGACTTCGACCCATCGTATGCAGTGGCGTGGTATCAAGCATTCAGTGTTAGTTAATATAATAAAAAGCAACAATGTAGGGGATAACTTTCCACATACAAAAACACAAAAAATAAAGTTCGTAAAGGGCAAGCAACAGAGGGTATAGGGTAATTACAGCCTGTACAGTCTCTCATGTAGATACTAATAAAAAGCCGGTAGGCACTTATGAAAGGGATAGGGTAATTAAAATAAAATGTTCTGGATATTCTGGAAGAAATCAAAAAAATAATAAGCTATGATTAATAAAACAAATATCATGCATTTTCAAGCATTATTATTACAAATAGTAGCGGTGATAATACATACACCTCAGGATTAGAACAATACAGTACACAGTAAATCATATAAATTATATGGAAAAAGGTACTTTTAAACACTAAAAAAAGGCGAATTTGTGACCCACACCTTTAGCGAAAAGCGTGATCAGCAGCCTAAAGGCACTACGTTATTGTAAGTCATGATCAAAGATGGCTGGCGGCTGATTACGCGCAGTCGTCTAGTACTGACAGGACGTTGTGAGCCTAGTCAGCGCTGGGCAACTAGGCCTAGACCAAAAACTACTTTTAGCAAATACAGCTCACATGCCAAACTTTCATATTTCTTCGACATTTCAGGGTATTAAGGTATGCAATATCTACAATTTTCACTGTAATATAATTAAACAGTTATTAAATTTAAAGCCACTATTTGTTAGTATGTACTAATGTAACCTTTTATATGGCATCATTAGTAGATCTCAAAATATCTTTCGACTATCCTAGAAAAAATTTATAATTTTGAACGATTCATAAAAAGAATTTGAGACCGTCACCAATGTGTAAAAGTAGAATAAACAGGTGCATCAAATTTTTCCCTAATCCTTTAACCGCAAAGAATGGCAATATAGGATAATAGTGTTTAATAGAGAGAAGGAATAAAAAAGTTTGACATGTGCGGTGAGTCCTAAAATAGAGCCTATGTATCAAAAATCTTTCCGTTCTTTGAACCTTCGATTACATATTAATCCTACTTAAAAATGCAAATTCTTTATATAATCATAATTTATATAGCACTAGAATCAAATAATAAACAATTACTTATTTTTTAAATACATGCATCACAATTAAGAATGTACTCTTCTTAAAAGTACAGTGAAAACCTTTTCCATTTTTTAAATGCTAGATATAATAAGACACATTTTTCTCGAATAGAAACATCGTCCTACTTTATACTGGCTCGAGAAATTCGAAAAACCTGACCAAAAATAGAAAACCAATCGAATGGACTTCGTGAAATTTATATTTCTACTTTTGGACGCATTTTAGAATTCTGCAGACTGTACATAGTACGGACATTCTTCTATGGTATAAGAACTAATCACTAATAATACATCACAACACTATACTCTATAATAATCTAATCCCTACATCTTACATTAAAAATTGTTTTTTTTTACTTGAAGACAGGTCAAATATTTAGCTTTGAATTATTAATAGTAATAAAAATATTCGTTGAATTTTCTTTTTCAAAGAAAATTTTAGTAGAATTCCATTAATCAATTCCTATAAGTATTGCAAACGATTTCTATGACTAGAAAAAATTTAAAGAATATGCATTTTTTTTTTGTTTATACGTAATGTATTATAAAATCTATCGTAAAGAAAACGTCATAGCCACATTATATTCTGCTAAAAAGACGAATAAACCTCTCGAATGCAGTTCCACCGGTCACTCCGAGTGAAAATAGGAAACAGAATAACAAATCGATAGAATAAACGTTTTTTTCAAAATATAATATGCCCAATCCGAAATAAGGAAATCTACTAAGATTGCACAAAAAAGGTAATAAGAAAGCCTAAATATTTGCTCTACGTCAAGATGACTACAATGAATGAGAAAAAAGATGAGACACGCAGAATACAGGGCATTCCCGCATTATGCAACCCCTCCATTTAATTCCAATGAGGAAATATCTAAATTTACTTTGATGCAATTTTTCTGAATGTGCAAGAAAATTGGATAAGAGATGGAAAGTAGTTTTTTTACTTATGCAACTTCATAATAACTGCAGGAAATGGTTTATGAGAAAAACTAGTTGGATTATTATTGAAAAAATGAGCGTAACAACAATTTGAACGTATGCAATACTTAGAAAAATCAAGAAAATTAAATGGAGTTTAAGATAGGTAATATTTAATAAAAAAATTGAATTATTAGAAATAAATGGAATATTATGTAGTACATAATGTTGGAACGCTCTGTACTATAATCTATATTGTGCTTCGAGATCAATATCGCAGGAAGACAAACTTTAACAACTGCAATTGCGACTGCATGTCTTGATCAATTATAAAAGAATATAGTTTAAACATTTATAGAAGGAACAAAGTTTTTCGTTAACATATAAAATAAAAAAAATATATTATAAAACTCGTCGAGTCCTTTTTAAAAAACACTTAATGACGTGGCAAGAAATTAATAAAAAAGGGTATATAGATTTCATGTACCTACGTGTTTGACAAAGAAAGGGGAATCCAACCCAAAAAGAAAACCAAGAATATCATTTTAAAATCACATACATGCAACACATTAATTTTAATAAGCCCCATGCATGGGAAGAACAGGGTGTGTTAGATGAAACTTTTCGTTTAAAAAATTTGCCGTTTTTTAAGAAATTAATAAAGTCCTTAAAAAACGTTTAAACGAATGTTATACACTCTGTATCTATAAAACATAAATACGTATAAAACACAACGATAAGCCAAAAATATTTAAATAATTTATTCAATATCAAATATTGATTAGTTTATGTAATACTTATAAATTTTAAAATATGATCAAAAATTGCACAACCAACCACATAACAATATAACATTGAAACGTCCAAATAAAATAGTTACTAAAAAACACTAAATTTCCAGTAATCATGTTAATAGTGAAGCGCAAGCATGCCTTCACATGTTAAAAATTGATTTCTATCCAAACTCCAAATTTTGCATAAACAGCTAGCCAAAATTTCCTTCCCATATTAATTTTTTGATTTGGGTCAGATAATTTTAGGCATGAAAAATGTGAAATTTACTTTATTTTTACAGCACTCTTGAGGTGAGAACATTCTCTCCCCCAAACAAAAAATTAATGGGATTAGAGACATTCAACTTGTGCTGTTTGTAGAATTAACCGAGAGTAGCTCTGAAGGGCCAAATTTTGTTACTTCAACACAGGTTACTCTGCATAATAGAATGTGGTTGTAGTTCAATTTTCTGTAGAAATGAGTTTAGGATATGTGTGTCGGCAAGCTTAGCCACCATTTTGTTATAACTATTTACAACCTGGCGTCTTTTTGGGTCAGTAACATATTCTACTATCGAATGGCACTTCTAACAGTTACAACGCATATGTCTACCATGCGACTCAAGTAGGCTCTCAAAAATGAAATAGGTATTGGAAATTATGTCATGCAAAATTTCTAGATATATAAACATTTCCATTTCTCTTTTTTTTTCGAAAATGGCAAAAATAGTGTTTCTAGTCTTAAACCACCAAAAATATTAATGTCCTAATTTACATATTAGAGCGATACTGGGATTAAGGAGATTTGTAGGGCAAATTTTGGGTAGAGGATGTTAATTGTAGCGGTGCAGTAGCAGATGTGAGAGGTATCACAGAATTGAGGCACTCGCTTGGTCCGGGTGTAGCTTAGAGCATTGCCCAGTTTATCAATATTTTTTTTCTTCTTTTTTAGTTAAAATTTACAATTTTGTTTGACTAGATACATATTTAGTACGCGTATTCAAAACAACAACGAATCGCTGTTAAACGAGGTAAATTTAACCCTTCGCTTTCGACGGATGAAAACTTATAGACAATAAATTAGGAACACGTCTATTGAATTTTATGTTTACTGTCATCTTGAATACGATTAATGATGAAATAATTTACCGAAAACAATTTTTAATTGATACATACTAATTAAAACTTCGACGTGAATCACGAAAGGTATATACGAAAAAAAATCTATTAAATACATACAATAACACAAAACAATTCAATTTAAAATTGAAATAATTAAAAATTAGTAATTAATATTATAGGAATTTAACCGTGAAATCCCTATTAAAGCTAATTGCAATTATTGAATAAAGAAGAAAAAAAAACAGTCAAAAATTCATAAAAATTACAATTAGCGTTTTGGTTAATCTGGGTGAATCCCATAAAAATATTACACGAATCAACAAAACCGAAACGACAACCATCTAAGCTAAACGTAAATCGTGGAAAATTAATTCGTTTTCAGTTTCTTGTACGGTTGCAACACGACGTTATTGTTATTATTAGCCGGAGCGGCCGCCACGGCGATGGTCGCCTGCGACGTGTTATTCGTCATGGGCGGCGCGGACACGGTCACCGGGTATTGCGCGCTCAAAAGGCTGTTCGCGTACAGCGAATTAGCGGCGGCGGTGCCGGCCGCCGTCGCGTACGGCTGTCTCATAATCGAATACGGATTGAATTGCATCTGAGGCGGACGGCTCATGTTAAGCAAATTCGCCTGATAGGGATTGGCCAAGCCGAGATTGATCGCCGTGGCGTTGAACTGAAAGGGCATCGCCGCAGCCGCCTGGTAACGCGGATAAGAAGCGGCAGCGGCTGCGGCGGCGGCGGCGGCCGACTGCTGCGGTACGGCCGCCAGCGTTTGTTTGTTCAAAGAAACGCCCGTGTAGTTTAACGGATTCAAATGCGTGAAATGGGAAGCGGCTAAACTCTGATTTACAGCGGCTAGTTTAATTGCTTTGGCGTAGTTGTGCTGGGCAACCTCTTTAGCAATGGCGGCGGGGTCGGGGATTTGGGATTGCTGGGGCAATGTGACGGGCATTGCAGCCGTCGTCGTTACTAAATTCACAGTCTCAGCTTCTTTTTTGTTATTTGATTGCTGTTGTGTTTGTTGTATCTGTTGTTGCGATTGAGATAGTGGTTGTGATTGTGACTGTTGTTGTTGTTGTTGAAGCGTTATCTGAGAAGTCTGAGACATTGAGGAAGTGGCGATGGATTGGGAGGCCTCAGGAACTGTGGGCGAAGCGCAAGAAGAGGTTGGTGGAGGAGCGGGGGATGTGGAATACTCACATGACACGGGTACGAAGGGCTGTTGCAACTGCATCAGTTGTTGGTACGTAGTTGCGTTCGGTTGATACACCGGCACGCCGGATTTGTCTGCCGCTGGTCGTTTGTACGGTACCATTCCTGCGGGAAAGGCCTGCTAACACAAATAACACCATTATAGTACGTTAAAAATTTAACTGTAGTAATTATTATAACATTGTAGTGATTATTTGATACCTCTTCAGAATAGCCCAAAGACATAATAGCTCAAAGGCATAATAGCCTAAAGACAAACTTGTCAAAAGACAAAATCGCCCAGACAAAATCGCCCAAAGACAAAATCGCCTAAGATAAATCCGCCCAAAGACAAAACTGTCCAATTCAAAATAGCCCAAAGACAAAATCACCCAATACAAAATATCCCAAAGGCTAAATCGCCCAAGATAGAACAGCCCCGACAAATTTTAACTTTGGACTATTTTGTCGGTTCATGCATTTTTTTATTCAAGTCAGTACATCGCTCATATAAAAAATCAGTAATTTTTCGAAAAAAATATCAAGCATCTTATAACGCTTATAACTATCTATTTTTTGGAATAACATTATAGTATGTACTTACAAAATTTTCATAGTAAAACGATCCAACAGATTTCATGTCCATCTGAAATAAAAAACGAAATCGTCGGTTAGATGATGGATATCGAATTCGCGGTAAATGAACTTTTGCATTTTACCCACAAAACGTGTCGCTAAATCGTGCGGGGAAAATGCAGAAGAACGGAATTATTTGTCGCAAAACGTTATTTTTAGACACAAAAAATAAGTCGCTGTAATTGAGTTGCTAGGATGTTGCGAGATTAAAAAAGAAATATGTCTGGCAGCACGCAAATTTAATCAATTTCCAAAGCGATTCTCGACATGCATCCGCTGTGTGAATCAAAATAAAAGCGCGAAGCTCAGAGTATGCGAAGCATATAAGTACACTGGATTAATTCTTACTTATTTCGTATATCTAACTGAATAAATAATTATTTATTTTTCATAAAATTAAGATTTTTTTTAAATAAGGTATTTTGAATGATTTGCAATGTTTACCTACCATAGTTTTGTAATCGATAGGTATTGTACGAAATTCTAATATGCATTTACTCAATATCGAAATTTTGCAAAGGCTCTATTGTAACCAGAGGTTTTATTTTTACATTTTGTAGTAGAAAAATATTTTATTAAAAATCCGGTACAGTATGTAAGCAATGTAAACACAGCCCTCACAACATGCTAACAACTGGAAAACAGGTAGCAGTTCGCTCTATAAAACACGCAGCATTTTTATTAAAAAACTTCCATGAAAAGTTCATTGTGCACCGGCGATTATTGCCCAACTTTCATATGAATTTCGGAGGCTTCCTCAAAATTCGGCACGTCGTGAAACAGACAAAAGAGTAAAAAGATACGGTGATGTCGTAAAATATGCGCGTATCTCTGTTATTTTTCATCGACAAAGGAGTAGGAAAATTTAAATTAAAGCTGATTAAAAACATTGGGGATAATTTTGTTGAATATTAATATTTTGATCTGATTAAATACTTCGATTAATTTTATGTTATTACTTATACAAATAATTTAATCATATTGCAGCGAACGTTGACGTTCGGTTTATTACATTGTTTATACAAATTTTGGAAACCAAAATTAAATTACCGACCTAATTTTATAAACATATTCGCTGTGAGAATTCTAATTGTTGAATTCGAAATAATTAAACACATGATTTTAATTCGATGTTAAAACGGTTTTGTTGTTAAACCGATTCGATTCGATTTACCATTTACCTAAATCGTTAGGTTTTATATTAAATTATATACACTATTTAAATAATAATCGATGATTCGATTGTGTTAAAGTTTAAAAAAATATCGTGTGCAGTTCTAGAGCGATTAAGCAACGATCACAAAATACGACAAAAGCTGATACCTCAGTTTGGTGAAAAGCCTATTGCCAATAAAGCTATAATGAAAATTTAGTTTATAACAAATGTGACCGTTCCATCTGTAAAGTAGAAAGCCATATTTACAAAAGAATATCCAAAATATCTGATCTAACCCAACGAAATCGAATGTGGAGGTTTGTTCGAAACAATCCAATTTTTTTCGATAAACCCCAATCGTCAAATAGAATATTTACATTTTTTTACGCGAGGTTAGACTCATACATTTCAGATGTTAAAATCTTTTTAGGAAATTTTTGAATAAAGTTGCTACGGGGGAATAATAAAAGCAATGCAAAAAAGAACAGAAGCAATGTTTCTCTTCTGGATAATCCCTGAAACTCCTTCGACTTCCAGGCACATTTTTTTTCTGTAAAAATAATGTAGTTAAAAGAAGATGCAAACCACTACCCGATGTGTAAATGTGTGTTAAAAACAAGGTGATAACGTATCGGTGTAAAAAAAACTATACAATATCCTATTGTGCTCACAAAACTTTTACGATAAAACAGACTTTCGCCTTCTTAACGTCTACACCATCATTACAGTATTACATTATCCATCGTTTACAAACTAAACTCCGAAAGATGGTACTTCAAACTGGAGAAACTTTCGTTCGCAAATTTAGTGAATAAACTATTCGACTGCAGGAATAATTCAGTCTGAAAATGAATTGAACGTTTCTAATTAACGAAACGTCAAGTGCAGTCTACAGTCGCATCCAGTTTTGAGGTACTCGAATAATTTGGGTTTGTCTAATTGTTTCACAAGAACTTACGATTCGCCCAAAAATAATTAACGTAAAAATTAACGACAATACAACGAGAGCCGTACTCAAACTTTTAATTTTTTTGTAGAGTAGTTTCCAAGGAGTAGTAAAATAATGGTTCATTATACCCTCAAAGGGTTTGCCAATAATACTCTAGATAGATGAATGAATTCGGGTGAAAAAGTTCAGTGTACACAATAGGATCGAATAAAATTTATAGTGTCATGCAAAGCAAGCGGAATGGTACCAGTAATAGATCTGTGTCGGCGGTGCTAGGCTCGCGGGGTCTCTTCTTGCCTATCTCGAGAACAGCGGCCGGCGTGGGAGCCTGGGGGGCCAGCAATGGCGAAATGGCAGCGGGCTATTAGTAGAGCAGCGAATTTTTCAAGACCAAGCACATCCGCACCAATTTGGGAATAAATAAAACAAAACCAGCACTAAATTATTTTCTGTTTCGGGGCATATTATCACTTAATGATTATTAGAAATACTCAAAGAAATAACAAGTTTATTCGAATCCAATTTAACCAAATGTTCCAATAACCTTTCATTAAACTACTAGTTAGAAATTATAAAAATCTGTATTTAATTCTTATGTGTGATTATTAGAAATTTAGGTCAAATTTGGGGGCTTTTTGATAATGTTCGAAAAATATCAACACAAATTCAAAATGCAATTAAATCAATTTTTTGAAAGATACCCCAAAAACCAATCAAAAAATTAGCTCCAACTCAGCAACTCTCTTCAGCTCGACATATCGGCTGTAAAAATGAAATAGTTTCTTCGATAGAAGAAACGAATTATGATTACATCCTACGAAAAAACACCAACATGCATTTTGTTCACAACAAAAAAAATAAAACACCAAAAGCCATCAGGTATTCCGTATAAAATAAATTATTGAAGAAGTCAAATCAATTACAGCCGGAAACTTTTTTAACTGTAGTAATCTGGGTAACTGCACCTGAAATAACTACATCAATCTTCCTTAACGCAATGAAATGCGGAAAACTGTGCTAACAAGCCCAAAAGGAATCAAAGGTTGCCAACTGATAACGCGCAATAAAAATCTTCCACAATTAAACTTTTGAAAAAAGAAATGTTATCTGTGGCAACTAATGATATTCAGTTATCAATCATCAGTGTTACAAGTGTGTTAAGTGTAAGAAAAAATCTGGTGCGCAGGGTGAGATTGTCTACAAAAAACTAGTAGTGATTAACAAATAATTTTAAAACTGCTATTCATTGTAAAAACCAGAAATACGAGTATATTAAACAAAAGCAAGTATGGAAAATCAGAAATAATCAAAATTTATCCAACAGTGAAGGTTATATTCAAAACAAATCTAACTGACATCCTACATCAACGAATTTAAGACCTCGACTTGACTCGGATTGACTCACTCGAAATTAGGGCTAATCGTCCAACAGAAAAAAATATTTACCCGAATTGGGATAACCGGAGGTAAAAGGACAGGCTCAATTTAATCATTTGGAACTTTTGATTTAAAACAAACAATTTAGAAACTTTCGGATCTCAATTTGTTTATCGTTGTTTTTGAAAAAAAAATCAACCGAACGGCACTCAAATTCGCTACGACGCTCCGTGTTTTTTTCCCTCGCACCGAATTTACAATTACTGTAATTCCTTTATTGTCGTCTTCGTTTCAATGTTATAGAAGTCGACTTCGTTGCCTGAGCTACTAATTTCATTATTTACACAGATCGATTAGCTCGGTACGGTTTGGAAAGGCGAGATCGGCTTGAGGAGGCTTTGAAGTGCTTCGGCGGTAAATAGTGGAATAATCCCGTAATTAACAAGGGAAAATTATAAATCTAATTTTCGACACATCGATACAGGTGTGTACGTGTGTATGCAACGAACGGCGCTTTAGGGATTAAATTATTATATTTCGAATACTAATGCTGTTTGTGAACGAGAATAAAGAGCTTGTACACGTGTATAAATTAAATTAAACATTGTATTCGAAGGATAATCACTCTATAATATGACTTAATTTATATTCAAACCGTTGGTTTATAAAGTAGAATTGAAATGTTGTATGTGTGTGTTGTTATGTGTGTGTCTATATATTTGTAAGATCTAAAATCTATTTGTATGTATAATGCTAATTATAATACAAAAATTACAAACTATAAATAATTCGCAAATTCGTGTTATATTATAAAGGGAAATTAATCTAAAACTTGTTAGAGGGGTAAGTAGGTAAAGAGCGAGGGCTTGTTGGCAGATCGCAGCTATACATGCTGCAGGGTGATAACGTCACAACTACTCGAATTTTGTTACCATTAGGGTGAACTGTTCACTAAACGAAGCAATATCTCGCTAAATTCATAACTATTGTTACTCGGCATTTATAATAAACGAAACGAGAATTTAGAGAGACTTGTGCCCGTTAAACAACTCGATTTTATAGGAAAGAGTTTAACTACTAGAGGGACACCAGCACCAGGTAGCAAAGAATATAGCCTGCTGCATTCATTGCATTAGGAATAAGAGCCAAAAACACACTAACAGAATAGAAAACTAATATTGTCCGTAGCTTCACGAAATTAAAAAAAATAACCGTGAAACAACGACGCGCAATATCTAACTGGACAAAATAAAAAAATCCCAATAATTTGTCCCAAACTGGTGTACATCAAAATTTTATGATCGATTTATTAGCAAAATAATGCTTAACCACTGAGCTGAGGACAAATTTTAGAAAACTATTAGTTACACAAAACCAATACAACACAAATAGGCGTTTAGCTTGGCAAATAAAAACAAAACCCGTAAATTTCCATCGACTGTACTAAGCAGAACAACATTTTTCCTACACCAATTAGAAGTAAAATGATACCGGCACCAACTGCTCTTATGCAAGGCGAAATTTTCTTAAGACCTTTTAGAGGGCAATCCTTATTAGTACAGTCAATATTCAGAGAAATTTTCTCGACGTAGTACCAATTTTTCGGATATGATAAACTACGTTAGGAAGACAATAATAGAATAAACACTCAATCGGAAAAAATAAAATAAAAAAAATAGCTGGCGTGCGCACTAAGATTGCGTAGCATACCGCGCTAGCCCGCGACTGTGCGGCCTTGATTTGGGCTTGGAGGTGCAGAGGGGGATGGAAATAGCGGCAGGGGTCGCGGTTGCAGCGGCCCTTGACTGCGTCCATGCAGACAGTGACAGTACCGTCCTCGTTGGCAGTCACAGAGTCGGCGGGATGCGCAAAGCGACATTCCGACTCGGCGCGCTTACACGCTCCGCGCTGGAACTCACGGCACACCTACAGCAGATTACCCGGGCATAAAATCAGCGCAAGCTGCCGCTAAGGTTATTTCGGATATAGGGGGTTCTTGTTTTTTTTTTCAGGTGAAAAAAAATATCGAACCGCAAACGCACGAGTCAACGAAGCGCACCTCCTGGTTTTAGCGCAGTTGCAGTATTCCACAGATGCGCAGCTGCAATATCTTACATATGCGCACCTGCAATATCTAACAGACACACAGCTGCAATATCTCGCAGATGCGCAGCTGCTGTATATCACAGATACGAAGCTGCAATATCTTACAGATGGCCAGCGCAGCCTAGTAAGCCACTACCAACTGAGCTAGTAATGCGCCGACAGGCTGCGTTTATCGCAACTATGGCAGTACTAGAGCGCAGGAGATAGTTATGGCACTAATAGTACCTACTCATTAAACAAGGATTTATCAAATTGACTAAGCGCGCGCTTCGTATCATCAATAGTTTGAGAAAAATTGCTAACCATTGCCATTGCTAAAATCGAACAAGTATTTGCATCAAACAAGATGTGAACTCGACTCTTATCTGTAGAACTAACGATATCAATTTGAATTTTTGTAGGTCAATCTCTTATCATAAATCATAAAAAAACGTCCGGAGAGAAAAGTTGATCCTCCTTTCAAAAAAAAATCCCGTCAAGAAATATTCCTTCATAAATAATTCAACGAACTCTTCAGAAAAAATATATTCCTAGCTTAGGCAATGGTCAGCGTTGTAGTATATGCGGCGTGTAAAAAAAACTTTAGGGTACATAGCCTATATTACGCTATTGAATGATCATTATTTTGTTTTTAGTTACCGAGTTTTGTTCCCTTGGCCATATCCCGCGAGTTCAACATCGCTCACAAACTCAAATTTGTATCGAATTTTAATAATCCAAAATAATCCGGGATTATTCTCGTAAAGCTGAAAGTTGTTAATTTTAATCCTCTACGATCCGATCGAGATTATGTAATCAAATATCTGTTAATTTCCATGAGGAAAAGCCGGATTTTATACAAAATTTAACAAAACTAGGATCTTATGCTCAACACAAAAGTTGCAAACAAATGTTCATATTACAATACGCCGGTTCATTAAATTCCTATTTCAACTAAAATATCACCAAGTTGCGGGAGATAGAATTTTTAACTAGTAACGTTAATTTTGCAGTCGTGGAAAAGCGGTAAATATAGGAATAAAAAAACGACAGCAAAATGATCAATGGCCAAGTTAGGGTGCGTACTACAGCAATGGAGACAAGCACCAAAAGAACGAAATAGTAATCGAACTAAAAAAAACCGAATGATCATCCAACTAATCAATAACTTTCTATCGAAAAATAAGCGAGACACAAGATTACTTGCGACTGTAAAAAAACAAGAGACAAAAGGGACTAAATCTACAACAGTACTTAGATCGGTTTAGACGTAACAAGTGTTGAGAACATGCCGATTGAAATTTAAATTAAATCCGACGCCGCGACATAATTTCCCATTAATTCATCAAATACTCATCATTAATTAATTTAATTTTTCTGTAGCTTAATCGATCAAGTCGACTACACTTGAATTTGCTTGATCTATGTGAGAAAATAATAAAATCTAATAAGGGAGTTGATTGAAGGAAACTCTTTAATCTTTCAATTTAACTGATGTAATTCAGCGGATGGAAGCAAATAAAACTTTGAGAGTTTATTACAAACGATTCGCGACGATTAATTTACTAAATTATCATCGTTCATTAATCGTTAATTTGAAACGGCATTATCGCAAACACTCATAAAAACCGATCTTAACAAATACGTAATACGAGGAGCACACCGTGCAGTCAAAGATCGATAGAAAGTTACACAAGTGCCCAAAGAAGGTATAATATAATAAAAAACAAAACTAACAGAATTTTGAACTGTATATACAGCTATACTAAAAGGCAACTCCAAATTATTTAAAACATATAACTCTAATCGCTTAATTTCAATTTCCTATGAATATGTTTAAATTATTTCAAGTCACCTCTGCCTTGTGTAAAGGTATTCGGGAACGAAATAAAAACATTATGTACACATGGGAAGAGAACTACATCTATTTTTTTACTAGGTGAACTCGAAAAGTGTAATGGGTGTTAGTGTTTATGTGTTATTTACCTCAGAACTACCTAGTTCCAAGCTATATTAAACCCAATAAACCTGCGAAAATAAAAATAAATAAAAGAAAAAAAAAAGTAACAAAAAAATAATAGTGGAAATGCTAAAAAAATGTATTAAAACCCAAAAATGATTAACATGTTAGTATACTAATTTGTAGTACCGATATTAGAGAATAAGTATGTATTTTTTAAATTATTAGTAATTAATACGATAGATACATACGAAATAACTTAAAAAAATAATAATAAAAATAAAGCGAATGAAATAAAAGAAAAATAAATAAATAAATTATTAATCGCATTTTCCGATACAGTTCCCATTGTTGATGTAGTTGTTAGAGATTTGTGTCACTTTAGGCAATTTAAAGGAATTGCCTAAAACCACACGCATAACTCTTTAAGAAACTCCCTGTCAAATTCAAAATACGCAATAATTTCACAATATATCGATAAAATACGCTAAGGGTAAGGGGATCATAAACGGATTGATTACCTCTAATCTGTCGGAGCGAGGCATCTTCTGTTGCGCTACCACGGTTTGCGGTACGACACCCAAAGGGGAACCGACTCCCGGATCCGGACCCATTATCGTAGGCATTATGGGCCCAGGAGCGAAGTACGGACTGTACGTACTCCCTACTTGGGGCATACCTGTGAGGTAAGGATTAGCAGCCTAAAAAACAAAACAAACCAATTATTACAAAGATGATATTCGAAATGCGTGGGGTAAAATTAGCCCACAGTAGCACTCATTTCATTTACCCGACGCATTACATAAGTGCAATTTATATTTCGTTCTATTTTTAACGTATTAAAAACTAACAAATGAACCAACATAAGCCGAAAATAGAACGAAAGAATTCGATAAAATCGAACGCTTAAAAATGACGCTCTTAAAACCAAAAAGGGCGATTGCTCGAAAGGGAAAATCAAAAATGTAACGGCAATTAAAATTAAACTGTATACAACCCCTTAAGTGTTTATTACATCACCTTAAAGCTAAGAATGCGATAAAATTGCAAGCATGCGAATCGCTAAAGTTCGGAAAACTACCGCTACAACTTTGTTCGAAACAGTAATTAAGTTTTAGTAGTAAAAAGTGTTATTTAGTACTCGTTTAATGAAATGTGTTGAAACGATCTGCCTTATAACAGTCGATTAAGTTTATCAGTTTTTACGTTGAAATCCATTTAAAAATTCTTACACTGTCTAATGAAACATTTGTTAACAAAGTAAGCCTTAAAAATAAAACGGAAGCAAATTCTTAGTTGTATCTAATGAAACAAAAAAATTACAAAGCGCAACAATTAACAAAGCAAATCTAGGTCTTTAGTGTAAGTATCCCAAATTATAAAAAAATACCAGAAATTTATTGGAATGGAATTTAGAGAGTATTAAGTATTGTCGTGTAAAAGAAAAAGCAGCGAAAACAAATTCGAAAACACTAAAATTATACTTACTTGCTTTAGCTTATTTACTAAATTCAAAGGAATAAATTAAATTCTGCAAACATGATGAATTATTAAAATATGAGAATAACTTGGAATATGGAAAATTGACGGAAAATTCGAAACGACAAACTGGAAACAATCCGGAATATTCTGAATTCGCATTAAACGTCTATTAAATTTCGAATTGAACGAGAAGATTTAGACAATGAGGGATGCGAATCACGTTTAGCCTAAATAGAGCAATTTTTAGTCGCAGCGGAACCTGCACAATTAACACTAGTATTATTGTTTCAACAAACCATCATTTAAACGAGCACCAAACCAAGGATTCATTTTAATTTATTAGAGGAGAATTAAGCAATTAAAGCGAGGATTCGAGGGTTATTTTTACCATCAGTGCATACTGCTCTTCAATTGTCATAGACAGTTGGGGGAAGAAGGTCAAGGGGAGGCAGTCTAGTGGCGCATCCACCTCAAATAACAAAAACCAAATAAAATTAGTACCAACACCAAAAAATAAACATTTTTTTCTTTCAAAACGATAATTGAAAAAGCGGCCATAACCGCTCATGCAGCTTACGGCTAATAACAAAATAAAAGATTAAATTAAAACAACAAACTCCTGTGATCGTGCTGTCGTGCATGTTACGGAAAAATTGAGGAAATTACTTTTTTCCGTACAACAAAGGATCGTTTTTAGTTGCTGACTTTAATGATTTTATATTTTCGAAAGTGATTCGTTCAACCTTGAATACCTTTTAAACAAGAGCACGTTATTTCGTGACCGCTTGTTCGAAAGTCTTTTAAGATATGATGGGCTCAATCAACACAACACCGTATCTAAAAATAACGGCAAAATCCATTAAATCATACTGATATTATCTCTTTTTTAAAACATCCCGTCCTTTTGTATGTTTTGATTGAAAATTTTCTCATGGAATTCTTTGCCTCAATTTTTCCTCTGTTATTAATAATAATAGGTAATGAAAAACGATAACAAAATACCAAGCATTATAGTAAAACCTTAAAGTTACTCACAACTGCTTGAACTTGTCCAGGAACTAAAGGTTGACCAGGCGTTAGACCCATTTGTTGCATAAGAGCATTCTTAAGAGCTAAGTGGTTTCTGCCGTTGATTAACAATTGATCCTTGAGATGTTGTGGAGGATGGAAATATTTGCACGGTGGTTTCTCCCTATTACATCGACCCTGTAACAAAAAAATAATTTTTACATCAAATCATCGTCGCCCGAAAAATATAATTGCGATATCGCCGCAAATTTTATTAACCTAAGAATTGAAAAAAAAAACCAATAATAAAAACGGAAATGAAATGGAATATAATAAAAACACGAACGAGAATCGTTTCCTTCTGCCTTTATCTCATCCATACAAACATTTCCAAGATATAACGCAAGTAATGTGATCGATTTTCAATTTTCCCTCGCTCATTAGTACCGGGCACTAGGGTGGCATCCGACCAGGGCCGTATCAGCATAATCACAATCTCCAGAAAATATCCACCATAAAAATTCAATATCTATTTAACATCATCAAAATGTAATTTTTCTTATAGAATTCAATGAATGATAGAATCTTGTTTGTACTGGTGTAAGTTAATTTATAAATATCATCAAAGCAATGACAAAAAAAAGGTACATCATTAAAAGCCAATTCTTTCTAGACGAATTAAATTAGGCGCGTCCGGCGGAGCCAGTCGGGCTCTGAGGATAACAAAAATTAGATTTTCCCTTATAAAAGCCGGAAAACTTGGCGAATCCAACGGGCGTCTGTGGTCAATCTGCGTGAATAAAATTAAATGGCCGGAGCGTCGAAATGGAATTAGGGAAGTGCGTTACGCAATAAAGCGTACGAAAATGACCGCAAAAGAGGAAAAGGTCGGTTATGGGAGGGTCAAGATGGCCGCCAGGTCGGCCAGGAATGCCATGCAGGTGGGCCGGTGGGGTTGCATACACGCAGATTATCAACATTCCATGCTGGAAACGTTCCGTACGTTATGGTGATGTCCGGCATTGTCATAGCGATTCAACGGCACGAACGTGCCCGGACAATTTTTCGGGACGATCCGCATTTTCGCCGTTATTGCGATACTTTGTGGTAGATTAAAAATTTCGCATCGCAATAAATCGTAATGTTTGTTCGAATAGTAGAAAATTCTGGATTAATTTTAGACTCTCGTAACGTCAAAAAATAAAATACGTACACCCGCAATCCGCTTTGGCACTACGCCTGAGACCTCGTAGGCCTGTTGTCGACAATGATGCTTCCTGCCTGGAATTAACTGCTGCCAAAATGGATGTACGAATTGCAGTTCTATATGGGGCGATTAGAACCGAGCAGTTAAGATTGCCATCGGTCGATATTCCACTTGGAATAACTCGTTCGAGTTTTCATTACAAATACTTGAGCGAAATTTCCTGCTCGAAATGGTTTTTAAAACTGCGTGTATATCGACAATATCGACGAAAAAATAAAACGGTAAATATTCTCTTCTAGTCTTTTAAACTACTAATAAAGTTTAAAGTTATATTGAAGATTATAAATAGAGAGAAATAGAAATAAAAATAAAAAATAGAAGAGAAATAGAATAAAAAATTCCTGTTTTTTATTTAGAGGAAATGAAGTAGTACCTACTAAACTACTCAAAATTTTAGAGTAAAATTTCGAAATGCACAATACAAGTGAGTAAGTTTCCAATCCAACATACTTCGAAGAAAAACGACCAAAATATTCGAGTGACGAGCTTCTATTATGCATTAAGCGACATCAACTTCTTTCGAAAATTCTTATTTGCTCATCTTTCATGGGCTCAATTTTGAAACTTTCTGACACAAACTGTCGATACTTCCGTTTATTCGTTCGTAAACACTTAAGAAGTTGTAACCTAATTTGATGAAAGGGTAAAAATCGAGTTCGGGGACGTTTTAAACTTAAAATTCCGGGCGAAATTTCAATACATTAAATTTGCTATAGCATGAAATAACAAAATTACAAGGTAGCGAGTTTATCGATTTTTATAAAAACGAACGCGTAGGTAGTACGACATCAAACGTGTGTAGGTTCACTTTATATGAATCGATCTATTTCACTTATACATAGATTGTATTTTTGGAAAAAAACATTTATCTTGGATATAATCCACGTGGCTTTCGATATTACAGGGAAAAGAAAACCCCGGCAGAGTCCTTTATTATTATATGGGATCGCGTTTCTGTCGCTCAAGTTAATTTTCGGTAGGGTCGGAAAACATCGAAAATGATGTCATCAAAATGTCATACGTGCATTAGGTTATATCTGACGACGGTTTTGGGTTATAAAATGTGTCATGATATTTAATAAATTCCCGGCGGATCAATCGAGGATTTCGCCCTTCGTTCTCATCGAGCCGGGCGCTTTTCGTTCATTATATATGGGCCTCCTGGCGCCAATTAAACTTTAACTAATTTTATCTGGCCGTGGTGCAAATTGCATTGCAGGTTGTTTTGCGCAAAAACGGTCAAAAACGACCGTTTCCGTAGCAAATGCGGTGCTCTCTATGAGAATTAATTTGTAGAATGTGGTCTGGTTAGATTTGACTTGTAGATCGTAAAAAACTGCTTTTTTGCTTTCGTTGCGCGTCTATATTAGCCCATTTTTGCGAATGACCATTCCGTTACGAAGCCGCGCCGACTAAATAATCGTTAATTTAAACATTTTATGAAGTTTATTCCGTCTCTTTATTATTGTTTCACTTTACAAAATTACATTTACACCATACCTATGTATGAATACTACCTATACAACTTTTATGTATTTTGTAGGTTTACAACAATCCCATAACCTTTAATCATAAAAAAATATAACCAAAATATTAGAACTAAATTCAATTATTCTATTATAATAAAAACTTCAGGTAGGTACTTATCTACATAAAATTTAACTATCGGATTGAAGCTGAAAATATAATAATTATTATGCTAATATTAATCCAAAATTGGTTAACTTTTTTTGGTCTAGTTTCGAAAAATTACGTTGGCTTTTTCAAGAAAACGAATTTCCTAATTTTTTTATTTCAAATTCCCTATTAGATATAATTAATCTCATTTTTAATCCTCCTCGGCTATAAAACTAAGCTCTCTTGGCCGTTTTGGATCGCGAAAGATATTCTTGAAGGATATTATTAAATCCGAAAGCGGGAAGTAGCGGTTAACTTCTTAATTTCTTTCGCTTCAGCGTTCGACTTGATAAGTCGGCCGGCTTTAGCGATCGAAAACAAAAATATTAGCGTCCTCAAATTGCCGCGAAAACTTTCTTTTGTACCTCGTCGACCCAAATTAAACAATTTTCTACCAAACTTTTTTCCACTTAAATTTTTTATTAGATATAAATTGTAGCAGGCTGATAATGAGATAATGCTCATTAATCTTTTAGGTTCTTGTATAATGTGTGTAATGTAATATTCAATTTATGAAAACGCTTCGTTACTTTATACTATATTTCTCTGTATGTTTAACTAACACTACCTAATCTTAGTTATTAATTTTTAGTGCTGGTATGCTTGAAATTTATCTTACGGGTTGCAACAGTATAATCCCAAAATAATTACCCTTTCAATTCCCCATCGGACTAGAAATGATTTAATCGTGTTTCAGTCAAGTTTCTGTCCTACCAAATCGATACTAACGTGGGAATAATTTAGTTCGGAGCAGTATTCCGCATTCGCCATATGCCAAAGTGTAAATATACTACATCCAAAATCGATGCAATATAATCGAGTCGACAGTAGGATAACTTTCCTTGAATGGCGCCAAACCCCATCAACCCTGCTACGTCGAGTTTGTATCGAAGGCTTTAAAAAGTATCTAAAATCTGATACTGACATACTGCAATTTCGTAGGCTTGATTGATTGATTGATTAGCTATTAAGAAAAGTGTATTAAACGACTTACTTATAAACACGCAGGTGGGTGTTTGCCAAATTAATCAATAAGGAATAAGTAACTTAAAAATGGGATTTAAGGTTTATTAGTCTGGAGTATATTCGTATTTTTAAGTTGATATATTTCTAAGGTTGTCTTGCATAATGAAGTTTGATTAATGTGTATATTTTATTTGGCAAAAATGTTAACGAGTGTTCTATTTTCAAGTAGCGAAATAATAATAGCGGAAACTCGTGCGAACTTTTTCGAGAAGATTGGTTGGTGTTCGAAGCGCCACTGCATTTAACAATGTACGGATAACAACGATTACCTTTTGAGTCGGAGTTTGGCCATGCCGGAAATTATGAACAGTTTCAGACAATACACCGGGTCGAGGTAGATGAAGTTCACAGCCAATCACAACTCCTCTCCTAACTTTATCTATCGACTTCAATAACAACGTCACTGATTGTTGTTTAATACTTCATTAAAAGCCAACTTGATTAATGGAATTAAGTTACGTTTGTTTAGGTACTGAATGAACCTTTGTTATGCATCAATGCTCATTCGCATTCGACATTGTGATCCTTTGTGCCGTTTTATGGGTTATTGTGGCGACGAAAACTCGTATAAAACGGTAAATAAATGATGTTTACGTTCTGCATGTAGTAATAAATTCAATACATCGGTTCTGCGAGAAAAATATTAGATGCATTCATGTAATGTGTAACATTTTTATTATATACAGTTCACAAATGTTATACTTTCGAAACAATACTGCCCAATTTAATAATTTTATACGCCTCTTAAGTTCATTTCAACTATTAATTTATTTAATTCCATCGCTTTTAAAGTTTTTAGATAAGTAATTCTTCCGGTATTGTTGACACACAGATTCATAACGTCGAATCAGGGAATCGGCAGAGCACGTTGTTTCGAAACAAAATGAGTTTATCGCATCGCAGGATCCGTCTCTTTGTCGTTCGAATTGAAAATCTTAAAATATTTCTCTCTATTCCGTCGATAAAATACGACTTTGAAATGGACGTCATACGTTTCGTATGTGTAGGTTATATACGTATAGAGTTGAGGTTTTTATCCGATATAAAGTTGGGATTGTCTCGCTTGAAAAAGCTTTTTGCCATAATATCTACCAATGGGAACATAGATCTTCGTAAATTTTATTTACAAATAGAGATCTATATGCACCAATTTGTATAAATAGCCCAATAAAATAAAATTGCAGACGTATTTTGTGCTCCAAAAGTGGAGAATAAATCTTTACAGGTGGAAGAG